AAAATACAACATATAACACAAGATATTCAAAATATAACATTAATTTTACGTGAACCATGCTTACATATATTTCAATAAATAATTTGTTATTATTAAATTTTTTTAATAAAAGAAAATTATTCGTTTAATTTCCAAAAAGTAATCAACGATAAGAGTTATTAATATTGGATTACTGCAAGATCTATTCAAGTATTTTAACTGTTGTCAACATTTGAAGAAGATACATTTATTTATATATACGCTATATGCTTACTTATTTATATTTCTATACCTAACAAATGCTATAGTTTAATACTCGTATATAGAAAGCATTAAGTTTTATTAAGCATTCGGTTGCAAAATTTTAAATAAAGTGCAAGATAATTGTATACATATATGTAATAATATAAGAGATTTCATTTTAATTTCTATATTTTCTCAAGTATTTTATTTAGAGATTTATAATCTTCTTAAAATAATTGAAATTTCACACTTAAAATTGACCAGCTTTATATTTCAAGGACATTTTACGTAATGTTAAGAAAAATACATGGAAAAAATTGTAAACAAAATCAAATAAATTTTAAGTTTATTATACGAAAACTTAATATATGTATGTATATAAGAGTATAATTAATTTGGTAAGTTAAATTTGTTTGGTTATATTTGAATTTCTCGGATTACATAAAAAGAAATTTCATCATGATTTACTACTCTGATGAATAATTGTGTTTTTAACGGTATTGCTGACCGTATATATTAAAATTGTTATTGAAAATGAATATTTGTTATACAAGTAGTATAAATCAGGTTTTTTAGATTTTTTTCTAGTTCTTTTAACCGTACTCATATATATTATATTTTTCTAAATATGAATTATATTCAGTTTTTAAAAATATACAAGGTTTTTAATGTTTTATTTTACAATTCTACTTAAGATACAGGATGAAATAATTTCGGAGATGATTCTTTGATAAATTTCCAGCAAAAAATTGTATGGGCCTGGGGTGGAAAAGTGCAGGAGTACTCGTTTTCAAGCTACAGCCTGTTGAAAAAAAAGTTACCAGATTATTTTTGAATATAAATAAATGCTTATAACTTCGGAACCATGAGACGTAGAGTAACCATTGGGGACTGGTTTCACAGACAATTCCCTGAAATTATTTACCAATTAATTATCCCTGAAGTTATTTGCCACCTTATCCGAAAGACCCTGTATATGTATACAATTTACTTTATTTTATTGTAGAATACAATTTTAGAATAATAATTTATTTTATCAAACTTTGAATTCAAGAACGTTTAAAAGATAATAATAAATTTAAAAAAAAAGTAGTAAAAAAAATTTTAATTAAAAAATTTTACAACTTTTGTACAAGTTTCACATTTCTTAAAAAAGAAAATCAGAAAACCCATAACACTTAGAAAATATTTAAGTAATTAATTTTAATTAAACTTGCAGGGTTTTTTTTTCCTAATTCCATTAAATTTTAAAAACAAATTTAACTACCTGGTTTACATTTATTTTATGGCAATTAAAGTACTTTAATTTAAAACATGACTACAGAAGAGTCTAAAAAAAAGTCTAAAAAATAATCTAAATTTTAGATTTAAATCTAGGTCCATAGTGGTTTCTAAACAAATTGCAAAAAATAAATTTCTCATATTTTTGAATTTTTTTGCTAATATTACACAAATATAAATCAAATGTAAAAAATCTTCCCATACATAATATGTACTCGTAAACTTGATTTTGCACATCGCTCATTTGCTATGCAAAAACACCATTTCTCTCTAACTTGAAAATTATTGCTTAACGTACAATAAAATATGAAATAATGCTATATAACGAGAAAAATAAATTAACTTCAATACTTTAAATTTCGTTTTTCTCAAATGAGCAAATTTTGAGTTATGTCAGTGGTGCAATAAACGGACAATATGATTATTTTTATTACCTGGGACTATAGCCTATATATTTTATTCTTAATACGAATTTGAGAAAATTTATTCAAGAATATTTCCAAAATCAAAGCAATTTTTAAATTTCAAGTCATTCGCAATTTTATATTGAATTAAAATTGTATATACAAAATATTGAAGTTTATTATACATAGAATTTTACATGACATATGGCCGAGTGTAAAATTTAATTTTTGAAAAATTTTGAAAGCAGCTACTTTCTTTATAAGTATTAGATAAATTTCAATAGCAAAATTAAACGAAAACTAGAAATTTTAATATTTTTAAATAACTAATATGTTGTTGATTAATTCGTTTCATACAATATGTAATTAAAATTTAATAAATAGTTAATGATTAATAGGGTTAATGTATCAACATAAGTAGGTATTTAATATATTAAATAATAACTCGATTGTTCTTTAAATATATAGAATTATATACAATTAATGTTGTATAAACGTCGTTATTTCTAATATACTTCATAGAGCTAATTTTAATTATGGTAATTAATTTGTTAAATAACAGAATATTATACAAGGTAATCAATTATTTTCTTGAACATTTTAATTATTTTTTATAGATAAAACCAACAATATTGTTATTACATAATTTTATAATTTTAATGAATATCGATAATCATCTTCAGATTTTTTGCTTTTGTCTCTTAAAAGGAAATAGCCAAATGATTTATAAAAGAGGTTAGTAGTACCTTGATTTTGTTACATTACGGTGAATCTTGTTTACAAAAATGACATATTTCTTATTTTAATTATTTTAATTTATAAAGTGAAAATACCATGGGCAATTGCATATTCTGATCCAAAATATGTTAATTGATGTATCGAAAATACAAAAGTATCGTTCATTCTTTATAAACTGTTGTATTTTTCCTTGTTTTGTTTTATTCTTTGCGTTAATTTATCTATACGTTATATCTTATATTATTAATTATCTATACATTTTAAGTGAATATTAAAAAAAATGTATAGGGTGAAGATTGTAAACAATTGCGCTCTCAAATATGCAAATATAATTTTTCATAAATATGCAAACAAATGAATTTTAGAATAGAATTCATTCTGAAACAAAAATTTTGAAATTGATATTCAGTTAATGCTAGATATTGTGTTCCTTCTTTAATCACTAAAATTCACAAAAATTAAAATATACTCACAAAAATCTTTCTTTTGTGTAACTAAAAATGGTAAGTTACTATGGTAGATCAAATCCAAATGAAGTAATACCTAAAATAATAAAGATTTATTTCAATACCCGAAAATGAACAAAATTTAAAAATTTCATGTATGTATTTAAAATTTTTTTTAATAATAAGACAAAAATATTGCGTTCCGGTAAAGTTTTAATGCAAATTGAATTCACGTTTGTTCGATTTAGACTTCCAATAGTCTTTCAATATTTTATTATAATAATTTCCAATTTTATTTCCTTTTGTATTATTTTAAAACTAAAAATCAAATTTACATATAATGTTTATGTTTATAATTTTTTTTTATTGATGAAGGTTCTACTAAAATTTTTAAAATCATCATAACATAAAATTGGAGCGAACAACTTTGTCATATAAAATAATATACAATGTTAATCACCTGTATTTTCATCTATCTATACATAATGCAACATGCAATCATACCAATGTACACCACATTGGTATATTCTTCAAGTGTTTAAAAATAATGAATGACCGGTTTTTCTTTTTTATAAACTCTTCGACTCAAACGAAAATGAAAGCTTTTATTTTTTTTTACGCTTGCATTCATTATAATGGATAGGTGGAACAAAAAAAAATTATATATCCATAATTATTAAAAATTATATGCTATAGTATAAAGTTATAAATGTTTATAAATTTATTCTTTAACAGAAAATATACTATATATAATAGAAAAACAATTATATGTAGGGAAGTATGTATATGTAGAGTATATATACCTATAGCCATGAAAAGAAATGAGAGAAAAACCTACAATTTGAGAGAATAAAAATATAGTAATAGTATTTTAATAGTAGCGTGCTTTCGTGGAGGGGGGAGAAAATATTTATACCAGTTTGAGTTTTTTCAATAATAGCTAAACCTAATTCGTCGATATTGTAGTATATCATAAACATATTATATACCACAATATTCAAAGTACTACTACGGAAATTCGTAAGAGACTGCTAATCTGAATTGCATTATAGTGACAGTAACACACAGAAACATCTCAAGTATATCAGATATACTTTATCGCGCTATATGCATAGAAATAATACTTAAAAATATCCTAAAATAAAAATTATAAACGTATTTTTTAATATAACAGAGAAAATAATCAAATTACAAATGAAATAACCACATTACAAAACACATGTTTTCAAAAATTTAGAAAAAAATTACAATCACCAAAGCAAAAAAAAATTGCTCGCTCAGTTAGTTGAAGGCAAAAACAATTTACTCAAATAATAATTCTCTATTATAAAAATCGTTCCCTACAATAGCTTCTAAATTATAAGAATCATAAGTGTTGCGATTTGACTCTAATTTTACAAAAAATAAAAAAATAAATTGTCCCTTCTCACAAAAGTTTTTTTGTATACGCTGATGTTCAACCACTTATATGCAATCAAAAACATCTCAATATATTTTCATCTATAAAAATATCAAAGCCACATTATAATAAGATTTTTTCGTACAAACCGCTATTTTCATAAATAGTATAACAGTATTATAACAATATAGTATACCATTCGAGTTAAATATTGAATTCTTTTATATTTTTTTACTCTTTTTTAAAATTATGATGCCACAACTACAACTATATAATATGCTGCTATAACAATCATGTACGAAAGGTGTGCGCGGGGTATTGCTACTATCTTTTGAGTATATATAGACATGTTTTTAAATTTAATGAAATTTTTCTAGTTTGAAATTGCTATGGTACACATCTAAACGCAAACATTAATTGATTTAAAGTCATAATTAATAAAATAATTACTTAAAGATTTAGTTGTTTAATTTTGATAATAGTTAGAGATATATTAAGTGTAATGCAATAAAATTATTATTTTTGGCGAAAAAAATCACAGTGTTGTTTAAAAAAAAAAAATTTACAAGAAAGGATTAAATTACAAGAATATTTTTTAGAAATAATTTAAAGTCTATATTTAATTATTAAACATGTGGAGAAATATAATAATTTTATCATTAGCTATAATTGCTTGTGGGATTGCAACCAACATATTGAAAGAGACCCGTAAGTTTATTTCCAAAATCAATAAAATTTTAAAACTCTCTATTTATTGTGATTTGAAATTTAAGCTATTTGTTTTTTTTTTTTTTAATTAATTTGTGAATTTTAATAAACTTGTGATAATTAATTTTTATGTTTATTTAAATTTAAATATACATATATCGCATAAATATTAAAATATAATTATTATTTTGTTTTCGGCAAAATTTTGACATTTTTAGGTTTTAATTTATAAAATTTAAAGAATAGTTTTTTACAAAATCAATATGCCCGAAGCATGTATAGAATGTTGAAGTGGGTTGTTAAAAACACATTTGTCTACATTGTATTAAAACTAATTTTAGCACTATAATTAAAAATACGAATGTTAGCACTAGATTTTTTAGCACACACATTAGAACATTTCTTAAAATAATTATTTTAAGTTTTTTATGTTTTTGTTTACTTATTAATTAAATATTCACATTGCATACTGTTTGACATCATACTAATATATTTGTATGAAAAACAAATGTCCTAAAAATATTCTTATTACAAGTAGAAAGAAATACGTATTTTTAGAGAAGATAAATTAGAAAACTAAAATTGGCATGAGCGACTTAAACATTAAGGTATACAAACATCAATATATAAATATAATTCCAATAAACCTATAAATTTATGAAATTAAGATTTCTGTTAAAAGTATTTCCAGTTAGACTAAAAAACTTATTTTCATATATGTTTTTCTTTATGCAATAAATTGGTAAATTCAATGGCAAATAATAACAAATGAAAATTCCTGATAATGAATGAATGAAATGCTGAGCCGCTATTTATATATAAAATAAATAAGCGCATTAATAAAAGTCTCACTTGAATTTATAATATTAAAGTAATTTGAATAAAATTCAATTTTATTTTTAAAATCTGCATAGTACAATTGAAATACCAGGGAGGTTCAATAATTTCTTGAACATACAAAATTTTTAAAATTATCATTTTCAGCACTGATTTTGAAAAATTGTTCTTATAAAATGCAGTATCATTTATTAAATTTCAAAAATTGACAATCACTTGCTCATGACACTAGCTTATAAAGGTCAATTGGATTTTGTGATTATTGCAAATTTTCTAAATACTAATAATTCAATATAGACTTGATAAGTCTATTATACTCGTACTTAAAAATTCAATTAAATCATCATAAAATTTCTTTGAGAAATTATTAAAAATCCTGCGTAAAATTGTTAATAAAATTTTGTAGGAGTATTTCTTTTGATGAATTATTTTAAGAGAATATTCAAGTTTTGGACCAAATTTTGATTTATAGCTCTACCATGTTTACAAACAATTTAAATTCAAATTGTCACGTTACTATAAATATCTACATACATATACATGCACACATACTCTATGTACTCGTACACTAATTTTATTTTATTCAATTTGTTAAACTAAATTCCAAGTAAATCTAAAATTATAAGAAAGTATGTCAAAAATTAAATTGCGAATATAGTATTATTAATAGAATATTTAAATTAATAGAATAATTTTTTATTTTGAATTGTAGTTTAAAAAGTTTTATAAAAATAAATTGTGTATATATAGTGAATGGTTTGCAAATCTGATAAAAAATTATGTGGCATTGACATTTGATTTTAGTTCATTCACAAGTATTTTGAAATACACAAAAGTAGGCCCCAAAAATGCGTGTAATGCGAGCACTTAATGGATTACAAGGCTTAAATTTTTAAAATTAATGTTTGAAAAACAGATTTAATTACTCATTTGCTATCAATTAGTCCGAGTGATATTAAATTAATTTATTCTATACTAATTCGTTCACTATACATGCGTGAACATAGTAGAAATTGATATCATGCAGCCCTATAAGAATCACAGAGTTAACAAGACCAACAGAGTTTTACATCACTCCGGAAATTTGTATATCTATATTAAAGTTTTTATTTTAATTGTTTATTTTTTTTATGTTTTTACAATTATTTTATGATATTTATGCATTCGTTGCAGTTTTAACAATATAAATGTGCAATTGACTTTCACTTTCAATAAAAAATAATCCTATACTATAAATTCACATTACATTTAAAGCACGTGCCTTAATATTGAATGAATTTATGTAATATGAAAATAGTTTTATGGAACGGTTTCAAATTGTGATGAATTGTGGCTCATTTTAATGATCTTAATATTGTAGTATAACAGAGTAAAGTGTAAAACAATTAATTATTACTATCTGAGATCATAGTTTGCAAATAAAAAATAATAAAATAAAAAATAATTGAAACCACATACATACATATTATGGCATTTTATAAATAAAACTGATACTATACATTATTAATAATTGATAGGACACTTCGTTTTTGAATGCGATTGGATATTTTTTAAGAAAAAGTGAGCATTTCTATACAAATGAATTTGGCCACTTCCTGTTAATATTTATTGCAAAATTGATATTTATTAATAAATCTACCTAATTTATCGTAATAATCCTTTTTTATTGGCCGGAAAATATTTTTAAAATAGAAATTTTAATATTTATATAAAAGAGTTACATAAGCATTTCCAACGTTGATTAATCATGAAAAAATCTTCCAACGTTAAACGTGAAAAAATCTTGTACGGTTTTTAATATAAATTCATCCCGTATAAAAAAGATCTCCAAGGCCTGTCATATCCCAAAAGCTAATCGATGACCGTAAACTAAAATATGAACTTTCATGAAAGTCGGTTCGGCCGAAATTGAAATACAGATCTATGCAGACCGGCAGAAGTCTTTCTAAAAATAATTTATTGACGTTTACCTATATAAAATAATTGCGGTCAGTAATAAATTGATCAAATCCCCAATTTTATCACTTTAATGTATATGTAAGTACGTATACATCATATAGGTATTTCGTTTGCAATATAGTCATTCATCAAAGCTGAGTGTCTTTGTAAATTAAAAAAAATCCAATATTTATTTAAACAACAAATAAAAAATCCATTTGTAGCATCACAAATCCAATATAAACAATGTCATTGTCAACTACTTTAACAATTTAGTTTTCTATTTGGTATTTTTTTGCATGTATACTTATGGAACTTTGATGCCAATAGAAAAGCAGTACATATTGCGACAAATAATGAGATAATAATTGTTTCTTTAAAAAATTAAATTTAATTAACTAATTTTTTATCATAATTTTAATAATTTTGTGATAAAATTTTAGTTGTATACAATTTTTAATATAAGTCAAATCTGTTTTAAGAAATTTAGTTTATTTTCACATTATTTAGAGAATTTAATTAATTTATTTTGTTTAAAATTCTGTGAGTCCAAATATGTTCTATTTTCCATTGTGACCGGTAATTAAATTATTTGTGAATGGTTTATTTTTTAAAATTATTATGTAAAAAATTTTACAATATAACCATGTATTTACGTATATATGTGAAAACATTGAATTACTTGCATATTATTGGGAAGATTTCTCGTAAACTTTAATTTTAAAATTTTATGTCATCATCTGTTACAGTAAATTTTTACAAGTTAAATTTCTATTATGTACATCCATTTGTATTTACTATACTTTTATTTATAATATATTTAAAGGTCACACAGTTTAATGCTCCGAATGTAATTATACGGATTTAATTTGGAAATTATGTATTCTTTTCTTATTAATTTTATTGCGAATTAAATAAAGAAAAAAAGAAATATTTAAATTTTTAATATAAACATAATTTTATTTATTAAAAATTAACAGTTTTATTTCGAAGAAAAATCAAAATTTGAGTATCCGTCATAAAATAAATAAATACACTTTTATGAATGATGCATAAATAACAGAGTGCCAGTATTAAAATGTAGAAATTTCATTGAACTGCTCGTCACTTTTGTTAAATTTTTCTTCAATTTGTTTTGTATTATTTACAAATTTTTTCAAAAGAAAAATTGTAAATAGAAATTAAATCTGAATTCCAAATAATAACGTTGTTAGCTGATTTCATTAACACTTGTGGTTAATTTATTTTGAAATCATCAAAATATTTGATATTATGGTGAAAATAGAAATTAAATTGATTTCTTTTTTAAATTTATAATTTTATTTTATAACTGTTTTGGTTGAAAAATATAATCTATAATGCTTTTAAGAGTTATACGCCATCTTATAGGTTAGGTTAGGTTGACGTGACTACCATTTAGGTATATTTGCATTCGCCAGGCAGGTAGTCCGTAAAAAGGAAAATGATTCGAGGCATTGTTCCTCACCGAAGCCGAACGCATGCAAAGGAGCTCCTACAGAAATCACCCGCAGGGCTGCCCATTCTCCTGGCATATTCACTAATAAGACAATGTCTCATTATAATCCCTATCACAGCTTAAATGTCTGCTCAAATAAGAGAAATCACATCCTCGATGTGACGTAGATCTAGCCTTGGCCATACAGTTCTTTGATCTCGTTGTATGCAGTTCCGTTCTGCTATTGGCTTTGCACAATTATTATTTAATAATTTTTTAATAATTTTGAATTTTGTTTGATCTGTTACTCTTTCACAAACAAATTGATCGGAATTGCAAATTAATTTTCTATATATTTGTATACATACATACATTTAAAACTTATTGAAGTAATTTAACTGTTTCCATGTACATAATATGGTTATTTTGGAGTTTAAATTAATTAAAATTTATAATATAATTAATTAACAAAAAAAAAATAATTGATTATCTAACATGTTTTCAAGAATTTGGATTTTTTCTTAATTCGGATTTCTACGCAAGTCATTCGTTTTTTGATAGAATTTATAAATCTGGTCAAAGTCTTAATTACTTCCTGTTCTAAAATAATTATCTTTTTTTTTGTTTTGATCATTTAAAATTAATTTATTCATGGAAATAATAAACATAAGTTTTAAAATAACATCAATTAATATTAATAAATTATTGCTAATGTATTTTAAGTAACCAGACAGCGTTAGAAAATATTAATATCATTCAAAAATCTTTATTTTTTCCAAATTTTCTTCATTTCTTACTGCATGTTTATACCATCACCATCTAAGAAATCTTACCGCGTAACAATTATGAAAGAATAACAGGAATCTATGTGTATGTACACGCATATATGAATTTAAATTTTTTTGTATAATTTATTTTTCATCCTTGATTAATCTGGTTTATACTAAGAAATTATTTCATTAATAAAAATGAATATTAATTTTTAAATTTAGAATAAATTTCTCGAATTGAATTTTTTCAAAAAATTAAAAATTTTAAAACGAACAGTTTTTTTAATGTGTTCTAAATTATTTTTGAGAAATTAAATTTTTTATTTCTTTGGTTTTATCGCCGTCATTATAATGTATATCGTTTATGTAATTAAAATTTAAGAGTCAATTTTTCATTTCCCAAATGTTTTTAGGCTGCAAGTCAGCTTGTATACTTAATTTTGGATGAATGAATGTATAAATGTTTAAATTTAAAATTATTATTAAATTTTTAGACATTCTTATGTACATACATATATATATTTTATTTATTTACAGCGGAATATATTATACCATGTCATAAAACTGAGGATTTGGAAAAATGTATAACAACAGAAATTGCTCACATAAGACCATTTTTAGCAAAAGGAATTAAGGAAATTGAAGTAAGTATTGAAAGAATTCCGACGTATAAATATAATAAGACTTTAACAAAAAAAATTCAATATTGTATTGCAAGCAAGTTTTTTATCGTATTCACGTTTATGGCGACAAAATAAGAGTTTAATTATTTGATTTTAATATTTGATGTAAATTTGTTATGAAAAAGCATAATTTTTTAAATTTCATTTAGATAGAGTTCAATCTAATCTCTTTCTAAAGATCTACTGCTATCAAATATAATTTTGTCCGTTATCTATGTAGCTGGTATTATCGTTTCAATTCGGCATTATTCTGTATATCCTACTTGTATTATAATTATTAATAAATTGCGTAAATTATAGTAATTTAAATTTTACTAGCCCAACCAGTACTGGGACAATTCACTCTAGAAAATTGGGAAGACTCTCGGCATGCATATGATTTTAGATTAGATACCAAAAACTATCATTTTTAATTATCAACTCTGAATTTTTTATAATAATCGTATTGTATTATTTTATAAAAATCCTTTCAAACGCACTTAATTTTCTTTAAAATTTAACATTGATTTTAAAAACATTCATTAATCTATAATTATTACATAATACAAGTATGTAATTTTTAATTATTGCTCTGAAGTATATTTTAATTACACGATTTTTTTTAATGAAACTTAAGACCTTTGAACTATTTCTTAATTATGAAATTTTCGAATTATTTATTTTATAGTTCTTAAAACTGTTATTACAAAAAGTGGAAAAATTAAAATATATAAAAAGTTGATTTAGGCTAGCTTTAAGGTAAAAGGTTAAGAAATTTAATAATGTACATCTATATTGTATATAACCACAGTCTCCATTTTCAAATTTGAAAAATATTAGGTCGAAAATTTTTATTAAAACTTTATTATTAATAATTAAATTTTAATAACACTTTTTGTTAATTAACCTATTTCATACTTAAGTACATATTTATGTACATTTTTTGAATTTAAAATAAAAAAATTATCAATCTGCTTATCTGCTTCAAGCAATCAGTTACGATCCCAAAATTATATGAGATGCAGTGAGGTTCGTGCACATTTGCAAGATCCAAATAACCTGATAAATAGCTGGAAAACTCCTATAATATTTATGTAAAATCGAACACTGAAATAGCTACAAATGTATAGTTTAGGCGTTAGCCTCACGCAACTACTTTAAGGTACAAGTAAGCTGGAACTATAGAAAATTTAAGCATTAACTTTAAGTTCAATACAATATTTTCCATAAACAATTCGTTTTCTATTGAATAAACTTAATTTTTAGGCCAACGAACTGTTTCATATATACATATATTGTATATGCACAGATATAATTATTATCAATTCCAATATAAAAGTTTACGTTTGCATGTGTGCAAGAATACGCACAAATCTATGCACCGTATATAAGTATAAACAAACATTTATTTATACAAGTAACAACCATAGGCGCGTAGCGTAACTAAAAAATAAAGCTTACACTATTATTGCATTGATTAAAATCTCGTGAATTTCATAAAAAATCAATAAACACCAAAGAGAGAGCAAAAAAATTAAAATATAAAATTTCAAAATGCAATGTTAGTATTTTATAGCCTTGAACTTAACTTAAAAGTAAAGCTTTTTAAAACTTAATCTTTCGCATTTTTTTTTTCATTTATACCAGCTATTTAAAATTATACACACAAACAGATATTATAGTGATTGAAATTGCAATTAATTTTTATACCCGTACAAAAAAATGTTCGAAGGGTATAATAAATTTGCCTTATCGCTTGTAACGCTAAGAAATAATGGTCTGAGATATAGACATAAGTGTATGTTTTTGACTAAGTGTATCGACTATCGTCGATTCTGAGTCAATTTAGCCATATTTGTTTGTCTTACTAAATTTTCAAAAATGATTTATAGTAAAAAAAGCCGGAATCCTATTTAAATTTGATATGATGGAGGCAGTGGTTCGGATAGGTGCCGTAAAACTTCAAAAATATTTGGCTATATCTCAAAAATTATTGAAGCTACAATTGTGGCTGTTACACTGTGGCTGTTATGTGTGGTAAGAAATGTTAAAATTTTTTGTACTTCTTGTAGTAGATCCCATACAACTTCAAGAGTTACTTGGTCATAATTTAAAGTTTTTTGAAGCTACAGTACTAAAATTTCGTAAAAACAAATTTTTTATTAGGGCCCTTATATCTGATTAAACGAGTTGAAATTTCTTGACTTTTGGTGGTACCTGCCACACAACTTTGGAAGTCATTTGGTTATATATTATGAGGACTATTGAAATTACAGTATGGAACAGAGTAGCAATTAACACACGACACTTAAATTCATTCATTCATACTGGTACCACAGAGTTGACATGGACCTATTTTCGTTTAAATTAAAAATTATGTGCAGTTTTTTTTAAAAGGCGATTATTTAAAGCTTCCAATTATGGTAAAATAATAATTACTAAAATTTTAAATGTATAATAATTTGTATATATGGAGCAAAACTTAATGAACCCATGGTTAAAGACTATGTAAAAGCCTAGTATGAAAGATATTTTTAACAGAGCAATCGGTTTTTAATTTTAAATCTCAATCTCAACAAAAAAATCATTTTGTTCTATGACAAGATTGTATGCAGTTCAATAACCATAAAAATTAGATTAATTTAAGATTCTTGTTATTTTGTTTTTAAAAAAAATAATTTTTCACCATTTTGTTTCTTTTATGTATAAACATATATAGCTTCCACCAATTGAACCTTTTATTATGGATGAATTCACATTGCAATTAACTGAAGGCTCAAATGGTTATAAAATTACTATGATGAATATTGAAGTTAGTGGTGCAAGTGGTTTTGAAGTTAAAAATCTTAAATTAACTGAACCGTTTAGTGCTACTGTTTCCTGCCCAGAATTAAGAATTGAATCAGCATATACTAGTTCTGGTGTACTATTAATAATTCCAGCTTCAGGTGGTGGAAATTTCCATGGACGTTTTGGTAAAATATATAATTTTGCTTATCACATTATTAAAATAAAATTAAATTCTCTGTTTTTACAATTTTATAGAGGGTGTTGTTGGCAATTTAACTGGAAAATTTTCAACAAAAAAAGTTGGTGATTATTCATTTATTCATATTGATGCATTTAAAGTAAATCTTGATATAAAAAAAGCACATATGAGCATATCAGGAGCATTTAATAACAATGAAGTTTTATGTGAGTATAATCTAAATTTCTTGTTATTTTGCAATTTAGCAATTAAATTTAATCACGTTTAGTGTTAAACGAAAGAAATAACTCTAACAAGATTTTAATTTCATGAGCTCCTCTTACCGGCATCTTGCTTTAAAATTATTGTCCTTTCTAAGTATAATTTTTATTTTTTGATTTTTTGTTTTTGTAGCAAGAGCAACAAATCTTTTCTTACAAGAAAATGCTGGAGAAGTTTTGCGTGCAATGCAACCTCAATTACAAAAGAAATTGGCACAGGAATTCGCTAAAATTGCTAATCAATTATTTAAACATGTACCAGTTGAAATATTTTACGTAGATTAATAAATAACGAAATTCGATCCTGCATATTCCTTCAAATACCTTGTATAAATTTCCTTTTCTTTTTTCATCTCTAATCAACAGGATTAAAAAAAAAAAACTCCAAGAGGAACGAATTTTCAGTTAATTTAATTGTGATATTTTTTAGTGTTAATATTATTCCTGTTAGTTTTTAAGTTCAAAATTTTAACGAAAAAAAAATTCTTTGTACATAATTATATATATATTTTATATATATATATACAAGTCGATAAAAAAAATAGAAAGCAACAAATATTTTAGTTTTAATTTTGTTTTATAAGCTTAGGAGTTATTTTTTTTACTAAGATAAGCGGAAGAACTTAAATGCATAACGAAATTTACTTTTTGGTAAGCTCAAACTTAAAAGGCTCTAATAAATTGAGGTAAAATATAGTTTTAAAAAACAGTTATCGATTAAAGCAATTCATAGATTTTTTTATATTTCAAAATTTTTTCGCTGGAAAAGTTCACTTTCAATAAATTTAATATTGTATACATTCACAGTTCTCAATTTGCAATCTATAATTAAAAATGTATTGACCTCTAAAAGTTGTAACCCCTTTTCTCTACTTTTAAAATTTTAATCCTAAAAATGTTTTAATAGAAATTTGCTGTGTTGAAATCAAAAACCCAGAAAAATAGTGATTTGCATCTTTACCACGAGACGCCCATAACGTTACGAGTCGGTAAGCTTTAAATTACCGAAATGCTCATTGTAATTAACTTAAGCTCAATGTTTTAAAATTTTTTCCATTTTTTATGAGATTGAATTTTTCTATTTTCTCTTAGATATGGGAGAGTTCAAAATTTTAATAGTTATCTAGTCCTTTTTCTTTCATGTTGTCGCCTGTAAGAACGTTCCTTTTTTTCGGAACCTTATTTTTCTGAAACTTCAAGCTTTTTAAATTCCTTAAAAAGCAAAAATCAATTCAATATTGCAATTAAATGCAATTTTTTAACTGTATTCTTTTTTTTATTAAATTAAATCTATTGGAAAATATACAGAATTGAACAAAACTTAATCTGAATTTTGATACACATTGAAATTAAATGAAGAAAGTGAAATTGATTGTATACAGTATAGGTACACTAATTTCAATTTAGTCCACGAAGTCAAATTTTTTTATAGTGCCATATCGGCTCAACTATTACTCATAATTACTTTATTCTTAATATATTTTATCTTTAAAGTATGCAATATATAACTATAACCAATAAAATACAAAATAGCTCTGCTAAGGTATGAAATGTAATGAAATGCTATATAGCTATGTACATCGATTTCACCATGAGAAAAATATTATCCAAAAAGTATGCAAATTTTAAAAAACTTGTAATGAAACAAAATATTAATTTTTTACGATATATTAAATTGCATAAACATGAATTTCAAACTATTAAAAACTTCACAGATTTTTGAATTTAAATTAAACTGAGAAAATTAAATTTTAACGTAAATATTTGTCTAAAGTATAAAAACAAATTCTTCAATTAAGGTTTCAAAGTTAAGTTCAGGATCTCAATAACTAATTAGTAATTCAAAGGAGCAGTAATTTAAAATTTATTTGCGAACATAGTTCAAAAAAATCTCGTTTTTAATATGCCCAGTTAAATTGAAATACAATTAGAAAATCTAAAAATGGAAAATCACAATAAAAAAAAAGAGAATTATGAGTTCTGATTTCTGAAAGTGAATAAAAAAGATAAGTAAAAAAGAGAAATGCACTTTATCAAACTTAATGTTGTAACAGTAACCATTATTGTCGCCATTTTACTTTTTAGAAAATGTGACCGTCAATCTGATGAAAGCAGAGTAATTTCTATTAAAATGCAATACCGGAGGATCCAAAACTAACGTAAAAATTTCAAATATTAGAAACATGTAAAATTTATTATAAAAATACCAAAGCCACCTATTGATATAAATTTCAAATTTAATTCCCAATTATAGAAAATTTTCACATTACTAAGTTCAGTTGGGAGCTAATATGATGTAATTGATGAGCAAAGACAATGAAAGATTATACCAATTTTTCATAAATTTACATACAAAAATTAGAAAAATAATATTACATAATATGTGTGGCTAGATCTTTATGCATTATTTTGTTTCCTATTCCAATCATTGTTTTTCTAAACAAATGTAATATAATTGAGAAATGAGCAATTATAATATTTTTAAGTGTGATACTTCCTAAACATATTGTATATTACAATAGAACAACACTATTTACAAAGAATATTGGAAACATTTATTGAGTCATAAAGCTTATCAATCATTTAATAACTTTAAAGTATGTTTGTTTATTTTAACAATTCTTTCTTTGGAAATTAAATTATTTTTTAAAATTCAAAGCACATTCAAGTCGTTCATTTTGTTTATTTTTTTCTTTTTCGATGAAATTCATTAATTCTATCACTTTTAAGTATTAAATATTGTCGTGTTGTGGAAATTATACTTATAACATATTCCACTTTTGTGTTTTATTTAAAAAACAATTAATTCTAAAAACAAAAGCCTAATATTTTTATTTATTTCAGGAACGTTTTGTTTTGACAAATTTTGTTTTGCGAACACCTTATTAGAATGATTTCCTATACAATTATTCTTTTTTTGTCATATAATAAATAGAGCATTAACATTATAATAACAATTCAAAAAAAAATTTGGTATGTTGATGGATTAGGTCAATGAAATGTCAAATTTTAATTTGGTAAAATTATTAAATTATTAAAGATATTATTATGGTATGTTAGGATGCATACAATATTGTAATACAATAATGTAATATGTATAAAAACAAAAACAACTACACTATCCTTTTTTTGGAAATTTTAAGTTAATTGAACATTCACACTTGTATTTTATGAGACATGAAAATAAAGAATAAAAATTCAAGGAAAATATCCAATTTAGGTACAGGAGTCGAAGAAGGGTCGAAGCAACATTCCATAAAAATGCGATTTCCGAAAATTTTCATAATTTCTTATCAATTACAGGTCAGTTAGTCACATCACCAAATTGATAGTGATTTTAATACTGAAAGAAGAGCATGCGTAAAAAAGCTTAAAAGTATAGAATCTTAAAATGAACTCCTGGGTTTCCTCTACACCTAGACCAGGAAATTATTCACATATTAGTATGAATAAATTAATTTAAGTTAGCGTTTACAAAACAAACGTAGCTCTACTGTAACTACGTATTTAAGTGCAAAGTCTCAAACATTCACTTGAAACTTATATTTCTGATAAATTCGAGTATGATAACAATCAAGCGACCCCGACTGTTTCATTATGAGATTGTAGCACCAGAGAAACATACACTTAAAGCTGTTGTTTCTTTGAAATGCGCCAAAAAATTTTACACATTGCAATTGTAAGGCATGAAAAGAACATTAATTTTTGTTCACTACAATTACCCCAATTCATTTCCTGTTGTAGCTAGTAATGTCGATCAATAGCCAAGCCGCAAGTTTTACTCTAAGATCACCTAAGATATTCTCGAACCTGGTGGGTCAATGTGTCACACTCCTTTGCGTCCCGACCCTTAATAATATATGCTTATAGATGTGGCTCAGCCGTGGAAAGGAATATACTTAGAAACACAGTGGAAAGAAATAAACATAAATATATTTATCGTGCGTCAACCGCCGGTGGATAGCATGTCCACATGCAGGACAGCAATGTGAGGCAGCTGTCTGCAAATGGACAAGAAGCCAAGCTAATCACGTGGAGCAGAACATATATGACGGGGCTGAACGAAAAAAAAGAACCAGGTTGTTTAGATAGGTTACCTGTAATCGTACGTGGTAAAAAAACTGTATATTTGTGCTAATTTGGATGAGGTGGACGTGCTGCACCGGCCACGTCAACCACCCAACCAACCCTAATTCATGGATTTGGAAAACTTATTATATAGATTTGGAAACTTAATATTGATTGATTTTTCTAAGATTAACTCGTAAACCTTTAATTCAAACTATCAATTTCATCAGTTTACTCATAATTTTAGAAAACAAAAAAGAAAAATCGTTAGTTTTTTTTTTGCACCTTGTCATTACTTTTTATTTATTATTTTCTTTTTTTAACATTTCTTTTGTAAATTTGTAAAATGGCATTCACCTTCGTTTTAAACGTCAGTATGTAAATTACAACAAATGAAATAAAAGAAAAACGAAAAAAAAAATAAAAAAAGCCAATAAATCGAAAAATGGTAATAAATGCAAGTGTGACGCTCCTCAAAATAATAATTAAAGCTTTTGGTAATTCTTACCATTATTCGCTCCCTTACCCACTCTCTTCTTGTTTTTAATAACAAAGTTTTATTTTTTTTTTGTTTATTTCTTCTTGAATTTTCTTCTTTACACCACCATTATAAAAAATTATCAATACTATTTATTATTTTTCTTCTTTTACTTCTGAATTTGATGGTATTACAAATAAATTCAGATTTCTTTTTATACTTGCTTACCAAATATCAATTCTTGTTCAGTCTGCTTTTGCATTTCAACGATGATAGATTATTTATAACATCAAATTCAAGATCAGTCCAAATATACACAATATTTGTACACAATTAAATTATTGAAATTAAAAAATTCTCTTTTAATAAATTCAATTTCGCCAACAATATTTTTAAAATCGTTTTCAAAAAATAATACAAGTTAATTACAATTTTATGTTAATGTGATGTGCTAAATTAATTCAGTGACACAATTTTTAATAACAGAAGACGTTTAATTAAATTGCAATAAAATATACAAAGAAAAAAATCAGAACGAAATATACAGTTAATTCCAGTTATTTTGCAGAAAAGATAACATTTTTCGACCTTCTTTTCTTACACAAAATAAATCAACTTCAATACAACACAAAACGGTCAGCAAAATCCAAAAGAACAAAAACTTCATAAAAAAACAGCCTCTTGTGGTATAAAGTGACAATTTTTTGTAAAGTAAAAGGTTTTAAATCTGTTTACTGATTGCGATTATCTGCCAAAGAAATTCAAAAAAGCAAAAAGAAAAAAACAACCGAAGAGAAAATAAGAACAGCCAAGAAGAAAGAAAAAAAGAAAAAAGTGAAATACATATAAGAAAAGAAAATCAGAACTTAATTTTATTGATCTTTTCATATTGAGATTTTGTGCTAAAATCTAGAAAACAAAATCATGTTGCTATTCTGTTTATTAATGGTTTCACTTTGTGTTGGCCCTATTCTTGGACAACAACAAGAGCAACGTAAGTATTTTCATTTAATTTATACAAATTTAATAATATATGTGAAATAATAATGAAATGAAAAGAGAAATTTTTAGGTTTACATTATGCCAACCTACGAAAAAATTTATTTATATTTGATTAAAATATAGAAAGTATTTATTGAAAAGAGTTACGCGTTTTGCATACGCTTCCATACATTATAGTTAAATATATTGTTATTACAAATATTTGTTAATTATACAAATATATTTATATAATAAATACAATAATTATAATAATGGTAAAAGTGTTAAACAAAAAAACAATATTAAAAAAAAACGTTAACTGCATTTCTTGAGAGGCCAATAACAAAAAAATTTTAGGTTTAATTTTAAGTTTTATTCAAGTAAGATATCATTCTCTACATATGTGAAATTTAAAAGTTAAAGCTAAGTATATACATATATTATGTAGAAGGAATAGTTATCATTAATTCTATATTGCAGTGATACAATGTTTAAAAGAAAATTTAGAAATTTGTATTTAGGTTGAATTCATCAATTCATATCCTTGTAGAATCAGATTTAAGAACTATATTGATCAAACATGGAACTCAAATTTATTCTGTACATATTCAGTATATTCACATCTATAAATTTCAATTATTTTAAATAAAGTTCATTTTGTACTCTACATTTTTGTTTTGACATACAAATTAATAATTTTCAAGAGTATAGAAGAAAATTTTATTTAATTTTCAATAAAATTATTGATACAAATCATAAGAATTTGCGATTAAAATTATAAGAGACAATCAGTCTTTCATATAATGTTACGAAATTAACACATTATAAGCGGGTCGGGTAGTAGTACCCGCTTGTGAGGATTGTCACTTGATCCTATTATAGGCAATATGGATGTAGAAACTTATTCTAGACATTTTTTTATTCTTATATTTTTTTCAAAAACTTGTTATTTTTTAAGTAATAAATCAAACTTTTTATGTATCCGGATATATACATTGTATATTCGCCCGCTACGCAACTTTGCTGTCCATGCTAGGCCGCTCATAATGTGTTAAGCATAGTTATGATAAATAGCAAACATAGTTGTATGCTGTCACGTACATATGTAGGCGTTTAAACGTTCAAGATTTTATTATAAAATTTTTATGATTTTAAATTATTCCTTTAGATTCGAGGAAAGCATGATGAAATTTTTTTTCGTAAAACATTTTTTTTTTGTAAGCACTTCAGGTTCAAATATTTACGAGCTTTGTTGCAAACAAACTAAAATTTTTGTGCTCGAAAATCGATTTACAGAACTTTTCGCCCTTAACATTATCTATTAATGGTAACAAAAGTTTATGACCACTTACGATATAAAAATCAGCTATGATTAAACACTACACGATTAATTCATAGTAAGCACACAACAACTTTTTCAAACGTTTTGGTATTTCGTTTGTAAATTAAAAGTTTTTATCATAGTACGAGAATAACACACTTTCATATATATCCTGAAAATTCTTTTTTTTTTTATCCCCAGTAGCACTACATTGCCATCATTTTTTCTACTTCATTTATTATTCAAAACCGATATGTGATGAGAAACTGAAATATTTTGCCATTTACATACAAATATTTTAACATATTTGCTTAACATTAAAATTCACAGATAAACTGGACAAAAATGTTTTCTTCCCAATCTTTTATTTTTTAATTATGTTCATTTAGCATATTGAAAAATAATTTATAAATTTAATTAATCATTTAATTAATGTACCAAATATAAAATTTCATAAAGCTTTCCATTTAGTAATTTTGCATATACTTCATGGATCTCTTTTAACTTACGATATTTTAATTAGTGTGGTCGAAAAATAATAGTACAAAGTTCAATAGCACAGTCCAAATTAAATAGAATCAAATCGTAATAAATCGATTATTCTTATTTGTTGATAACTTAATACTTGGCAGCCGGTTTTTTATTTCAAAATCCGTAATAAGTAGCTCTTTAGTGATAAAAAGATGCCTTTAAAAGGTCTTATATCAAATCTACTCCCGTACGGAGGTTGAAAAAAAGTAATATTGTAACAAATATGAAAGTATGTGAAAAAAAATATTTGATCTGGTCAGCACATAACTGACCGCAAGGCGTATTATCTAGTCTCTGAAAAGTTCATCAGTAACTTCCAGTAGCAAAATAAATTCAAATATAAATTAACAAATCTCCTCAGTTAGTTCCTTGGATATGGTAAAAAATGTAGATCGGTGTCCGAGCCCCGAAAACTTTTTTCATTGTTTTAACAACTTGTATCCATATATTAAATTTCGGAGAAAATGGTTGATTATTTCTCTTTATATGCTCATAGATAAATTGGCCCGTAGTAAACGTCAAGTTGGTGATACCTGATTTCTCCCAAAAGTTAGGCTGTTTCTCGTACTGTCGAACAAAGCTTTTATATATAAAAATTCCAAGTTAATCTGTTAATTATTTTCTTAAAAATGAACAAATATGTAAAATCACCTCGTAAAAAAGTCCAGTTCCCGAGGTCTGACCTATTGCAAAAGTTAATTAATCTGTGCCATAGTCAATAAAAATAAGCTCTCATATAAAATTTCATTAATATCGGTTTAGTCGAACTTCAGATAAACGCTTGCACACACAGACCGACAGATCGATATCTTGCTAAAAATAGTGCATTTAAGCTTTCTTACTTGTGTTTCCAATGAAAACTCGATATGCAAAATTTTGTGTGATCACATAACCTCCCTTATTATATGCAATGCGATCGATAAAAATCCAAATTAAAAACATTCAAACGTGAGATTATGAATAAATTTAAAAACACATGTTGCAAAAAAAAATTTGTTTTTACCGTTAAAAATTATTTAAATTTATTCGCAATATTTTTTATTTTTCTTGTTTTTTAATAATTTCAAAAATTTCAATAATTTTTGTTTTTATTTTTTTTTTGTATATATTGATAATGAAATTTTTAAGATTTTATTATCATAATTCACCTTAACCTACAAATGAAAATTTACAAAATTTGTGATAATTTCTTTTTTAAATCTTGCATAAATTTCATTTGAATTTCATTTTTTACAAGTGGTTACTATTATTGTTATTGTTGTTTGGGTTTGTGGTTATTTTGTTTTTTAATTGCAATTTATTTTATTTGATATTAAGGTCAAGTGTATTGACGTGTGAGATTATTATAAATGATGTGTGGTCATCTTACACAATTCATTCATATTCATTAATTGATTTGATTTTTAAAATATTTGATGCTATTCACATATGTACATATATAAATGTTAAGTAATATTTTATGAATAGATGCAATATTTTGAAATTCCATCATTTTATTAATGAACTGCGAGTATATATGCAATGCATAGAAGCTTGAAAATTAATTAAATTTACACGTGGCTTTAATTATATTAATTTTAAAATTATAATTATGGCAATACTTAAAATTTATAAATTCATTAAACTATTCAAAAAGTAAATATCAAAATACTGGTAACACTTAATCTTAAGTTAGTCATAAGTGAATGTTTACATAGAACTGCTTTTAAACGAAATTTACAAATTAAATTACTATAGGTACTAACAATTTGTATGGGGACTATAACAGTAGATAAATGGAATCATAAAGGGAGAACTGTACAAGAGTTTTGCATGTATTTTTAGTTTTTCCCTATTTTTTTTTTGTGGCGGTTGATCTTTTACAAATTTATTCCTCTTGAAATTGGAAGCTGTATAAAGATCATATTTTTTGATTGAATTTCAAATCTTGCATAACCAAAGCGCATCAAATTCAATTCTAAAAAAATTCCATTAATTTTCGAACCTGTATATTAAGGGAAATTCAAAGATTTTTACAATTATATAACAAGTATTAAAAAAAATTAGGTGATAATTAAATAAAAACTTTCCATTAATTTAAAAACAACTTGTTGGAATCTAAGGAAGTCATGCCATGACTTTGATGTTTTAATATGAAATTGTTAATTTATAATGTTGTGTCTTAAAATTTAAGTCTTTAATTATAGATTTCATTCGAATCAAAAGTGATTGACTAATTTTAGTGTCAAGTTTAGAAATATCAATTATAGAATTATGGAAATTTTAAACTGTTTTTAACTAGATAACAAAATTAATATGTAGATGATAAGCAAAATTGAATAATAACTTAAATTTTGCAAATAATTTTAGTAAATTATCATTTTTTTAAATACCTATAATTCTCTTTTAATTCCATATACATATGTAAGAATCGATCTAATAATTTAGTTTGTAAATAAATTCATCAACAAAAATTAATAAAATATTTTAAAACTTAAACAAATATAAATTTAAAATCAAATATGACAATTAAAATTTTTAATAATTTTTTAATGTTATACTTACAGCTTACTTCATTGAAAAATGTCCTCGTGAAGAACCGGTTGTTAATGAATGTTTATTGCAAAGTGGTAACAATCTTGTCCAATTTCTTCGAAAAGGTATTCCTGAAATTGGTATTCTTGAGGTAAATGTGAACTTAAAATAGTTTTCCCAAAAAAAAAAAATTAATTAAAATCGTCATATGATTTTAGGTAGAACCAGTTATTGTAGATGAAATTGGAATCGCATTAGGTGGTGGACCGGATGGATATAGAGCTGTTTTTAGAAATATTCAAGCATATGGTGTTAGTAATTTAACAATAAGTCATGTACGGTAAGTATATCAATTAATGTAATTATAAAGACGACCATGTAATTTCAATTATTTTTATACAAATTTTAGTTCCGATTTAGATTCATATCAATTTCAATTCACAATTGATATTCCAAGAATACGGGCGACAGCACAATATCGATCATCTGGAGTATTAATTCTTGTTAGAGCTTCAGGTGCTGGTGATTATTGGGGTGAATATAGTAAGTAATAATTTATGTACACATACATACTTGTTTTGAAATATGAATATAATTGTGAGTAATAATTTATAAAACTTATAGAGTTAATATTAAAAAATAAATTATATTTACAAGCTTTTAGTAATCTATTCATAAAACTTTATGAGTAAATTTTGATTTATTTATAAATACAGTCAAAGATGACAAGTACATTTAATATACGCCACCTATCTTTATAATATGCAAAATTGTACATTCACATTTATCACGCAGAAATTTTTAAAATTTTAGTTCAGATTAAATATTTGCATATTATCTATTTGAAGTTTCGATTTCTTATAGCAAAAATTAGCTTAACTTATTTTAGATTACTCAAATTTTATTAATTCGCAATTCAATTTAATCAGTTTAAAGAATTATATTAAAACATTATTTTGGTTATAATTTTCGTTTCAAAATTTTAAATTTTGACATAAAGTCTGTCAGATTTTGTCAGTTTTAATTGAGTTTGAATATAAATTTCGAATGAATTTTTTCCACAAACGTATTCACTCAATTTGGATTGAAAAATAATAAATTAATTACTGTTACTTTATTCAAATTATTTTTTAATTCTGTTATAACGCATTTCGAAAATGTACTCATTATACAAGTTTGAAATTTAATTTTCCTTTACTATAGATGGTGTTCGTGCCAAAATTTATTTGAAAGGTATGCCAATTGTTAAAAAAGATGGATTACATTATTTGACAATACAACAAGTTAAAATGGATTTTAATGTAAAAGAAATTCAAATGGGAGTTGAAAATATTGCACATGGAAACTCTGTTATAAGTATATCCATATATTAAATATTAAATTTTTATTATAATTTTTATATAAAAAAATAAAATAATTTTATAAATTTTTTTTTTAGAAGCGGCATTAAATCTTTTTATAAATAGTAATTCTCAAGAATTATTAAAGGAAATGAAACCAGCTTTAAGATCAAAACTTACAGCTGTTATTGGTCAATTTATGAATCGATTATTGGACAAAATACCATTGGAACAATGGTTTTATTAATATGAAATTTATTTTATAAATAAAATTTTTGTATTTAAATTTAGGTTTTTTTTTTTTTGTAAAATAATTAATATTTAAGATAGTTATAATAAAATGTATTTTATATAAAAAATTTATTTATTTTTCATAATTCAACTGGGCTCATATACCCTATTACTTTTCAACTTCTACTTCTGTGTACCTTAATTACTCTTAAATATAAAATTATTGATATTAAATTTATTGATATCGTAAATTTATTGATATTAAAGTATGTTGTAGATTTACAAAATTGATTTACTAACAAAATCTATTAAATATTTATTAGATTTTTTTGCTAAAAATCAGCCATATTTTAAGAAATTGATATTTATATACACAAAAAGTGTGAAATAATATACGAGTTTTTGTATTTACTTGATTTAATTAACCATATAGTAAAAAATTTTCTAATGCAACTCCATTCTATATAGTAAAAAATTAAATAAATTTATTTATTTTTTCCATCTAAATTTAACAGAAATTTCATGTTTATATAAATTTCGAATTCTAGATTTACTTTTGAAATTCTAGATAAATAACTTAACTGTTATGCAACATTGATCGAAGTAAGAAACTTTAATTGTGTCAAATATACAATCACTACATTATACAATTACAGTTAGTTCTCCTATTAACTGTAATTAAAGTAAATAAAAAATTAAATAATCTTTAACAATCGATAATATAAATTCGTCTTAATTAAATAATTACGTATATTTTCAATATGATTTGCGATATATAATTGGAATCATCTTATAACATTGTTTTATTTTTCTTATAAGCTGCCTGTGACAGATAAAACCTGCCCTATAATTATGGCGTAAATATCATAAAATTTATATTGATTTAAATGGCGTTAAAGGTTAATTTCTTTATTTGACAATGACATTTAATTCAGTTTGAATTTCTAGTTCAACCCATCTATTTAAATTTTATTAGATAGATACTCTAATTCATACATAATTCATGGGAATTTTACCGTAGAAGTACCTAATATAAATTTCATTTTTAAAGAAGCAAATTGTAAAAATTAAATATAGTTGGGGAATTAATATTTACAAAATATAATAGAATTACTTAACAGAATTTTTTTGATTTAAACAATCTTTATTTTGCGAAATCTTAGTATAGCTAAAGAAATTTAGTAGATTTTATATAGAGTATCCCTTATATATATAGATATTAAACCAATGTTATTTAAATTTCAATTCCTTATTACAGATTATAATACATTTTATTGTTAATATCTTTTAAATTTTAAGACCAGTTTTAATTGCATTGGACCATAAATATGCGTATTCAATTCGTTATGTATAAAATATACAAATATGCAGGGTCGGATTTATTTTCAAGGCCTGCTGAAGCGGGAGATTATAAAAATCAATTTGTTTTAATTTCCATGTTAAAAAATATCGCACAATTCACTAAATATAGTAAATATGTAAAATAAGCTATTCTAAGAATGACGAATTATAAAAAAATTTGAATTCCTTTAGAAATTTGAATTAAAATGGTTAGTTTTGAAAATATACGCACCATATACTTTGTTATCAAGCTATAAAATTATATTTTATCAATACCAACTTTTATGCCAAAATCTGGATTTCAGTATAGTCCTCTCAATTTAATCAAATGTTCTTCCACTGAATTATATTAAAACGCGTATAATATTAATTGAACATATAATATTAAAATGTAGTGTCATATTTATAACCTAAGGCTTCTGATATAGCGAACCCGTCTCTGCATTTGTATGAATGCGTATACTACTCGTATGCATAATGTTTATATTCAATTGGAATTTTAATATTTCTAATTCAATTACTCATCTATGTTTTAATTTTCACATAATAAAATATTCTAACAGCTTACTTGAATTACGCATTAAAAATTTATACATGTAAAATATAAATCTTATTGTATATTCAAATTATGTGTTATACTTGAGTGAAAATATTCTAATTAATATTGAATAACATGCAATTAATTATGATACAATTAAATTTATTATTTCCGTTTATTTAAATTTTTTTCTGAATAAAATTATGTTGGTAAATAGGTATATAAATATAAATTAATTAAGATATTCTATATATTATTAAAGTATATTATGACATATGTATGGTCAACACAAATTGGATTTTTAATCTAATTACTATTAATAAAAAATAAATGTTGCATATATGTACCATATTTAGTTGATTAAGTCATTTTAATATATGCACATACTAATAATAATCTTGAACTATTTTTATAAATATTCTATAATACATTATGTTTTTACAAATAATATAAAAATATTTTAAATTTTATAAATTATTAATTATTTAACATTATTTATTGTAGACCAGCATATTAATTACTTTTATATTAAAACATTCTTTAAAACTCTTGTATTTTAACTTTTATAAATTCTAAATGAAAATAAAGCCAAGTATAAATAAGCTCAGAGATTCCATATATATTGTTTTAATATCGATTATGGTGTATGATAAACTATATAATATGAAAATATTTCTGTGGAATGCAATAAAATTTTAATACAAGGCGTCTAGCGCAAAAATGTTCTATTTATCGTATAAAATACGTTCATATTTTTTGAGTATGAATTTTCATAAAAAAAATAATTTCATGAAGATTAATCAAAGAACACAATTTAATTTTAATTTTCGGGCTAAATAAAAATTTAATCGTTATAGCTATTCTACAGTTATCAACATTCTCTGTACTGTATAACCCCAACTTCTAATATGTACATATATAAGACATGTATTTGGGGCAGAGAAAACGAATTACTAAATGAAACCTATTCTGAGTATCGAGTCACTATTTAATAGTGATAATTATTGCAAAAATTTCGATATAGTTAAGTTTTTGAAACTTTCACGGTAAATATATCACTATCACTTATAGTGATTCGATACTCAAAATACCTTTTTTTACGTACTTTTGACCCAGTGTTAAAAGTATGTAAAAATACATTATGAGCAATTTATTTTACAATTAAATATTTAACTTATACTTTATTCTTTTGATTGATTCAAAGTAAAATTTCCTTGAACAAATATATAGAGCCTAAATAAATCTTTGAAATGTATAATATTTGTAATTGTGTATATTTCATTCTTAAAATCTATTATGATTTTTTTTATTTTATTATTTTTGTTTTTTTGTTATTCTTGTTTAAATTCTTTACTTAAACGAAGCTACTATATACAATATTATAGCATGGGTAACAAAAAGTGAAAATTCTTAATGTGATAAGTATACAAAAAAAATGCGTTTATTTGAGCTTTTTACACGTACTTTATAAAAAAATTTACTGGTTTAATAAATTATTAGAAACGTTTATAATTTTAGTAAATTAAAATTTCGTTACTTTAATGGCATTACTCCGTTAACAAAATTAGAAATTTTTATACAAAAAATGTTCCAGATAATTTAAAATTTGCTGCTTTTTGCAGAAAAATTATTATTATTTGCTCATCATTAATTAATATTAAAATAATAATGAAGTGTTTTTCAAAAAGAGGAAAATTTTAAAAACACAGCAATTAGATTAATTTGTTAATTTTATAAAGACTTAATATGTATCATTTTTAATAATTTGAACAGCAAATGAAGCTACGGACTCGAAGTTCGAAAATGTAGACTTAAAAATTCAAGTATTTTCCGCCGGTGGATTCGATGCCGAAATCAAAAGGCGTTTTCTCTTCAAATTTCCTAAGTCATACTATTTCACCTCAGGGTATTACTAAAGCAATAGTATAACTTAAAAAATGTTGTTAAAACTTAACAAATGAAAATTAGTTACATGCTTCTTCTACTTAATTAATTCGTAGAAAAACAAAATGGCCATTGAAATAAACAGTTATCTTGAAACTGTTTTTTTTGTATTTTTAATATCGTTTATCCTTTAAATGATAAGTTTGTCCTTTAGATGATTTAGAAATCTAAAATTTTAGCGGCTTTGAGTTTATTTCGTTAAAAGAAAATTTGTTCCCATCTCAGTTCCATCTCAAATTATCGTCTGTCGAAATTCGCCAAATTTGACTTTCGACACTTTATATAATTTCTGAAAGTACAAGGTTTTCGAGTTTCTTCAATTTTTTTTTCATCCTAATTGTATGCAATATTTATTAAAATACCCTAAAATTTCATATAATTTTCATAAACCCATATTATGCAGATAATTTTTCACTTTATATCCTAAAGTTGCTTCCATTAATATTTTTTTATTTTATAATATTTAATATATTTTTATTCTATATATATATATATTTAATTCTAACGATAAAGCTACAAATAGCTCGTATCTGTTTATTATTGCTACTATATGATATTTATATAAAAATAAATTGAATTTGCATAAAAATCAAATATTATGTATTAAGTACTAACATGTAGTAGAGGTACATACGTTTTTTTCTTTAAATAATTATTCGAAAAATATAATAATAGCAAGTTAAAAAATATATTTTTGTAATGATTAAGGAAAAAATAAAAAATAGAAAAAGTTGAAAACTTTTTTAATATAAATTAAGATTAAGAATATATTCTATGAGCAGTTCATATCTAAACTTCCGTCAGATCAGTTTCAGAAAAGGAAAATAAAAAATTCATTTTTTTTTTAAATTATAAATTGAAAAAGTTTTATTCAAAAAGTAAGTATATAGAGAGCCAATTGTGTAATAAAAATAAAATTCTATGCCAAAACAAAAAAATTGTTAAAGGAAAAATATTTGAAATAAAAAAAGAATATACGATAAAATGAAAGTGATTTTCTAATAATAGGAAAATAATAATGAAAAATTAAATTAATTTTAAAATTTCTTGCTAAAACTAGTGAATATTAACAAGTGATTTACTTCGTATTGTGCATCTATTAAGAAAGGCATATTATTGCTGGAAAAATTATGGTTATGAAAAAAAAAAATAATAAATAAATAATTTATTACTTAATAAATATTCTACTACCATTTAAATATTTCCACTATATACGAAAATATTATAATTTGAATTTAAATAAAAAATTTTAATGAATTGAAAAAAGGATTTCAATTAATAAACCTATTGCACACAGAGAGCAATTTATATCGTAAAATTTATATCGTACAATTTATATCGTAAATTTTTAAAAAATAATTATGAAAATTTCTTCATGTACCACAAAATTTGGATTAAAAGCAAATATCATACAAATATTTTAGTAATTGTTTTGGAATATTTTTTAACATGAATTTTAATTTCACTAAATTTAATTTTGAGAGGCCAATTAAAGTTTAAATACATTGGAAATTAGGAAGTGAAAAAGTGAAAAAGTAAGAAGAAACAGGATTAATATTCTTATCCAATAAAAACAAACACTATTAAAATTCAAATATCAAAAATTTATTTCAAAATATGATATACTTTAATAATAATAAAAATAATTAAAATAGAAATCTTAAATAAATTCTTAATTTTACGAAAACTTTTGAATAATTTAAAAAACTTAATTTTTAAAAATAAAAAGTAAAATTATTTTAATGCGTTTAGCAACGTTCATAAACTTATTTTAAAGTTCAACTTCTCAACGATTTGGATTCGAAAAAGTAAATCACTAAAAATAACAATGACGCATGAATAGTTCGATATTACTACTATTGTAGACACAAACCAATTTATACATGATATTATATTATATACCCATAACGGCCATAATTAATACTTTAAAACTTTCTACGATAATTAATAACTTTCAATAAGACTCAAGTTAAAAAAAAAGATAGAAAACAGAACTACAAAAAATAAATTATTGTCAATACTCATTAGTAATTAAGAACTAATTCATTTATGAACTTACCCTAAGCAAAATAAAATCCCTAAAAATTCGCCAAAAATTGCACCAATAAGTGGCTTTTAATTGAATTTAATTTGTTAATTCATAATATACGATAAAAGTGTATTAAATAAAAATAACTATGAAAATTAAAATTTGAAATATTTTATTATTTATAATTCAAATATACAATTGGTTTACACTGGTTACTTGTTAATACGAAACTGATATTTTTAAAAAGCAATAGAATGTGAATACAAAACTTCGCCAACAATAAGCTCAATTATTATTTTTGTTTATTTTTTTTTTTCAGATTCTACCAATATGAATTACAAATTGAATGGAGTATTTTGCATAATAGTTTTCTTTATTGCATTATCAAAGGCTGACTTGGTACCACTTCGTAAGTTCAATACAAATAATTTTATTATTTTTTTTCCAAATTTAAAAAATTTTCAAAATTTTAATTTAAAGCGGATTATATACAAACATGTCATAAAAGTGATCCAGATTTTACAAAATGTTTCTTAGAAGCAGTTGAAACTTTACGACCAAAAATTGCATCTGGTATGCCAGAATTAGATTTACCACCATTTGAACCATTAGATTTAGGTGATTTAATAATATCTAAGAAAGAAGAAACAGGTATTGATATAACAGTGAGACATTTAAATGTATACAATGCTACAAAATTTAAAGTTGCTAATTTCCAGTAAGTATACAGATGCAATTATGTAAAAAAAATTTCGTCTCTATTTTAATAAAATTTATGGTTTCCTTTATCTATTAATACAGAAATAAAAATTATGTTGAACGTTTGAATTTTGAATTAACATTGCCAGTTTTTAGTATTGATGGAACTTATAAATTAGATGGTAGAATTTTAGCTCTTCCACTACAAGGAGAAGGTCATGTCGCTGGAGATTTTGGTAAGATTACATAGAATTTTATAGCATTTATTATGTACTATTAATTTTGGAATTAAAATTTCTATTAAATTAGCTACATAAAAAATAGTACTGCAATCTGAATACAAAACAACAACAAAAATTTTGCATAAATTTAGGCTAATGATTATGATAAAAGCAATATTTTTTTAGAGATTTGAAATTATCATTGTAACAGTGTACTGTTACGATTATTTTTCAATATCATAAATAAAAATTATAAAATTTTATTAGCAAAATTAAAAATTAATAAATAAATTATTTTTTGTTTTTTATTTCAGAAAATATAAAAGTTAAAGTAAAAATGATTATTGAAACAGTAAAACGAGATGACAAAGAATATTTTAGATTTAAACAAATTAATATTAAAGCCAAAATGGGCACGGGAAAAATACATTTTGATAATTTATTTAATGGTAATAAAGAACTTGGAGAAGCTATTAATGAATCAATTAATGAAAATATAGTAGCAATGGCTAATGAAATATTACCATCAGCCGAGAGAGCTTTAGAAAATAAATTTTTAGAAATTGGTAATCAAATATTTAAAACATATACAACAGAACAATTATTACCAAATTAAATTGTTAGAAACATTAACAAGTTATTATTATTATTATTAGTTTTTATTGTAATTTGTTTATAAATTTTAAATAAAATAAATTATTTGAAATGTGATAAAAATTTTAAAAACCAAGATATACTTATATTTGATTTTTTATTTCAATTCTTAAAATATTGAGAATTTTCAGAAGAAATATAATTATTTATTTAAAAGGTATGTATAATATTTAATATTTCACTATAATAAAAATTAAAAATTCAATTTCAATAAAAAACAAGAAAATAATTTTTTTTTAAAATTTACAAAATTAATATAATACTTTATTTAAAAATCTCTAAATTCTATATTTATTTAAAGTATATGATATTATAATTTATAAAATTTTAATATGTATAATTATTTATTTTGGAAATAGAACATCATAACTATAATTATTAAAGAAATCATCACATAATTCTTTTATCATTTCACTTATTGCTTCTTCTAGTATTGGTTTTATTTCATATGCGATTATATGCCAATTATCATTTAAAAATTTATTCATACTATTACCTAATCTTGGATCACCATTAAATAAATTATCTAAATGTGTATTTGATCCACCAATTTTAAAATGAACTTTAACATCAGTTACTCTAAAATATTCCTCTTCTATACCATTTGTATTATTCTTTTTAAATCGTTCTCCACTTAATACACTTGTAACGACTACATCAGCTAAAAAACAAAAAATTAAAATAAAATATTATTAATTGGGATATTCATTTCAATTATTAGAAATTAATATTAAAACTGATAATTTTTAATAGCAATCGATTTAAATCATAATATGGCAAATGTGTCTAACTATAACACAATAATCTAATATATTTATATATTTATACACAATAATTTTTTCACTTACTAAAATTAGCATTTAAAGCTCCTTTTCCAATAATTGGCATTATTAAAATTTTTCCTGTTATACTATAATCTGATGTTATATTTAATGTTGGAAAATATATTTGTAATGAAAATGAATTATCATCAAAATTCATTTTTAAATCTTCAACAACAAATTTTGATGTTCCCATAATTTTTACATCATTATATTGTGATTTAACATAAATTGGTCCAACTGATTGGTCAACTTTAACTAATGGTACTAATAATGGTTCCATTGGTGGTATATTTAATGTTGGAATACCAGATATTAAATATGGTCTTAATTTATCAATACTTTTCCATACACAATCATCGATATTTGGTTCAGAACGCTTACAAATATTCAAATATGATGCTGTTAAAAATTTTAATAAAGAAAAAAATATTTAAATTTTAAAATACTAAATAGATAAAAAAAAAACCTTACGTAAATTTTGTGTTGTTTCAACAAAACCCTTAATAATTACTAAAATTCCAATTGATAAAATAATTTTTCTCATTTTAGTATTATTAAAAAATAAAATATTACTGTTATGTCTTCTTCTACGATCCATAATCTAAACTAATTAAATATTTAATTTTATATTTAAAATAACACTTTTTTATCACTTATATATTGCAGCCTTGTTGAATCAGCAAATTTTTAAATAAATTCTTATAAGCGAAACTACTTTTATTTACAAACGAAAAAATATTTTTATTAATCAGCTATTTAGTTAAAAATTCTTAAGAATTCTACTATAGAATACACACATTTGTTTACATTGTAAATGCGTTATTATTACATATTTAATAATTTTTTTAATTTTTTATTATAAAAATATAAAAATCAATGTTAAGTGCAATGACTTTCATTCATAAATATTTTAATTTTTGGACAATAATAATATTGTATAACATATATGCTATTGTAACAACGTATATACATATATACTTTCTTTTATACACGTAAATTATTTTATAAAGCTTAATAATTCCCAAAAATTTAAGTTTTATTGCAAATACTTTGGAGTAGTAATCATACTACAAATCACATACAATGACTTTTTTAAAATTACATTCATGTCGTTAATGAACTATGCGAGTAATATAAAATTACATAGCAGTAAACACTAAATTGAGTAATATAGTAGACAAACTATTCTACAAATACTATAGTATTTTGTTTTAGAATTTGTTTGAATATAATTACATTCAACTAATTTTATATTAATCTTTGAAACACATATTGATTTCATACGTGTATGTATATAGGAAAATTTTAATTTTCTTCTAAAAATTTTAATGGTTTTATATGTATATCAATATCTATACGAGTATAACATAGCAAAATAAATAATTCGAAATGATTAAGAGAATACAAAATATTTAGTAGAGCATAAAATGTAAACGTATTATATTAAAATAATCAAGACAATAGCTTAATTGCGAACAAGATACATACTTATAAAAAGACTTACAAAAAGAAAGATAGTTCGACGGCAATCGTGGGAAAACTGAAGATATATTACAAAATTTTATAATGAGTGAAAATAGTTATGTAAGTGTAAATTATAATTGAAAGATTAAGAGTCATGAAATTTCGATCACATTTGTTCTCATTAATCATATTTCTCTCTAAAATTAATAAACAATAAAAAATATAAAGAGCACGCACATGTGCGCTCTTCCGGATTTCATTGTGTCTTACTGATAATTTATTTATTGTATATTTTTGAATAAAAGTTTTCAAATGAAGAATTATTCAGATATTAATTAATTGATATCTACAACGAAATTTTAGTTTTCTTTTCCATTTCCTTCAAAAATTTCATTAATATATTTTGTTTTTCCTATTTTGTATGTTTTAATAATATTTACAAAATTTTTAATTTCAAAAATAATTTATTACATTTGTAAACAAAAGAATATAATAGGATTAAAATTATAACATTTTTAAAAAGTTTTAATGTAGAAACACGGGTTTGTGCATTGGAAACACAAATAATAACAAACGAAAACACAAGTCACCACAACATTAAAGGAGTACTTAAATGAAGTAAAACGGGTGAGTCAACTAGGAATCGATAATTTCGAATTGAGATGATTGCTTTAAATTTATATGAAGCGGATCAAACGACAACAGTGAATAATCTACTCGGCAGATATTCAAATCACATAAGGAATACCCATTAATTGTGGATGACGGCAATGCGGTTATATGATTTTAAATTGATCTTTCTAAATTAAGGTCTTGGCCATTTTACTTTTAATAAATAATAATAATGCACCGAAAATTTTGAAAATTATTAAATTTTGCATAAATTTCTTTATAATGACGTTTAAATTTTTCACATTTATTCTCAAAATTTTTTCCGACTTTAAATTATTTTCTATTCCAAACCATATTCTATTTTTAATAAAATAATTACAATTAAAGTTAAAAAAATAAATGGTTTCCAATAAAAAAAAAAAATATTTAAAATCGGCTACTAATTTTTAATATTAAAATTTTTTTGATTATTGGCAATTCGAACTACGGCTTTTTATTTTTATTTTAATAACTTGTAATTACTTTCCCCAATATAGGAAGTAACAATTTTCGTTTTCAGATGAAAAGAAAAAGAAAACAATAAATTTTTTTTTTGTTTTTTTTTTAAATGCTCTAACATATTATGTAAAATAATTTTTAAGTAAATAAAAAACTTATAAACAAGTTATATGAACAAGTTTTAAATTGTAACGATTTAAAAATATGTAATTACTTTAACAAAAAGAAACTGTTTGTATAAAAGTATAAATTTTATTACTCATATAACAATTACAATGTAGACGAATTGTGTTAACCGCATTATTTGTAACATATTAAACAGATTTATTAAACAGACTATTTAATATTATGTTATACACTAAAAAGAAATAATAAAAACCAAAAAATTCCAACTTAAAACATTCCATGCAATCTTTAACAATAAAATATATTGGTACTTGTTCAAAACTATAAAAAATATGACATGAATTTTAAACTATTAATAAACCAGTTTCATAAATGATGAAAATAACATTTTAGCTAGCTAAAAATATATTTTTTTATTTATAAGAAATTTTAAATTTACCTAAAGACCTAAAAATTTTTTTTGCAGAAATCTCATTTTTAATTGTTTACATTCAATGTAAGCGTATATGTACATGATATTAATGTATTGTTCATTACCATATTTAATATTGCCGTACATATAGGCGTAGAGGCGTTTATTTTGTTTTCTTACATAATAATGAGTACGATATTATTAAATATTTGGACTAAACATAAATAAATAAATAAAAACGAAAAAAAAAAAAACTTTCTTTTTTACGTTCCTAAATCTTAATTTTTTTGTAACAGGTGTAATGTTTTGTTTGTATACAATTCTTTTTCATTAAATAAGTTTGGTAAAAATAATAAACCTTGAAAATATCTTTGCTTGAGTGCTTGACTGATTGAAATTTCCGGTAAATTTCTAAATAAAATTTTAATAATCTATGTATACGTAATTTTTATTTTATGTTTTTTTTTCTTTTTAAAAAAATTTATAACTGTGTAATAACAAGCGAAATTAAATACATTATATAATCAAATATGGGCTGTTTAATTTAAACAAGTATATTATCCAAAGAAAAAGCACTTTCTTCATCCAATCAACCGTATTAAATATTATAAGATATGGACTCGAAATGGTGATAAACATTTAGAAACGGTGATAAACATGGTAATAAATATTCTCTTTAACAAGAGTTTAAAAATGCAAAAATAAAATGAAAATATTTAGGTTTATATAGTTAATTTTTTTTAATAAAAGGGCTCAAAAAATGAGAAATTTATTTTCATCTGAAATTTATTATGATTAATTACTAAAACCTCTTTTTTTATATGACGCATCCTTATATATAGGAGGATAAGCCAAAAATGGATAAGAAATGGATAAGCCAAACGAGAATGGTAATGGAATGGTAATACATATAATTGTTTTTTGTGTTATATAGTAATTTTTATTTTAAATAGGTTTATTAACTTATAATATAAATGTAATGTTTATATGTACTTAATTAACTATATATACAATACCATAAATATCTCAAAACTTGTGACTACGAAATAAATTATTTACATTATACAGTTAAATAAAAATAATAAAATTTATTTGGAAAAAGTATAAGTATATTAAATGTTATACATTGTATTATTTTTCAAAAAAGTAGTTTTGGTTTAATAATTATTGAATTTAATTTAAAAATATCAATTTATTTCGTCAAATATATTTAAAATTTTAATATTTTTTACTGTTCTGCATGTTTAATATTCATAGACCGTTCTTAATTCAAATTACATAGAAAGTATACCTAAAAGTACCTAACGCGTTACCTAAAAGTATGCAATTTTTCGTTATTTTTAATCTTATGAATTCATATTTATTTGTATTTTAAAGATTTAATCATCATTTAAATGAAACAATAACCTACTTCGAAAGTATAAAATTACATCTTTAAAACTATGATATACCAGACACTTATTGTAATCACAATTTTCTGTATAGTATGCGCCATTTAATAAGCAACGAAAATATTAGATCATTTGTTTCTTAAAGGAAGAATACAATCAAAATGATTAAAAATACTTTGTAAGAACTAGCTGTAGCTTGCCATTTTCAAAATAAAATCTGAAAAATGTTTTTACTTTAACATATATATATATATTATTTTAAAATGAAAATATGTATGACTGCAAATCAAATTATTAAAACATTACAATATCTGAATCAATACCACGAATCTATTGATTATTTAATTACTACATAGATTTTATATGTAGCAAAAAAAAAATATAAAAATATTCATATAAAAATTACTATGTATAACATTATTTTATACATTTGCATAACATGTACATTTAAATTGATTTTTTGATATAAAAATTAAGCAAAAAAAAATATTTGGTCAATGTCAAACTTTCCTAATCAACAATAAATAAATAATTTTTTTTCGGTTTTTTTCATATTTGTAACGTTAAAGGCATATTAAATCACTTTAAAATTTAAAAACCAAACTACCACAGTTGTTAAATTATTAAAAAAAATCTCCTTAAAATTTAAACCCAAAATCGATATACTATTTAAATATATGATACTTTACACATTTAACAAAAAAATATTAAACACACTTTTGTGTTAGTAAATTAAATACCATGAATAGCTACAATATGTATTTGAAGGTTATAAAATATTATTCAATATATGAATATGAACTCATCGTATGTAATTTGAAAAGAAGACAAATACATAATGTAAATGTTAAAAAAATTTATAAAACATTTGTAAATATATGGTTACGCTCTAACTAACAATAGATTGGGTAATTTCTTTAAGAGATTTACCTATACATATATCATACTCACCCATATCACATGTGAATATCAAAAATTATTTAAGAAAATTAACTATAACGTAAATTATAATCGTTTGTCATTTATTTAAACTCATTGAAAAATTTTCTATTATAAATCAATTTATTATGACGTATAGAGAATTAGAAGGGTAAAATATTAAATTATAGTACTCTCAATATACAAACGCTGTCATCACAAATCTGTTATACTTCTCTATCAAATAAAATTTTTATTATTAAAATTTGAATTACTTCCAAAATTAAATATTATTTGTAAAATTACCATAATATTGCAACATGATAATAAATTTTTTTATTAAAATCATTATAGTAATTATGTATGTAATTAATTTTTTATATATACCACATTACGGGTACATAATATTTAAGATTATTTATGAATAGTAGATTTTTTAAATTTTATGCAAACGAATTTCTTCTAATTTTGTATAAGAGACTTGTCACTGAAACTGTAATATTGATATAATAAAAATCTTTACAATTAATAACAATATAATTAAAAAAACACAAAAAATATATATATATATATGTATGGAAACAGTTATTTATAATTTTAATCTCTATTACAGGCAATTTGTTTAGCGATATAAAATTTGTTCCTGATGTGTATGTACTCGTACGTTAATGCCTGCCTGTTTATGGTCCTATGTTACTAGCATAAAAGCATGTAATTATAAAGTATATCTCTTATTTATTTTCTAATCAAGTAAAATTTCAATTATTTTCAATTCTATTTCAATATTAGTATTTATAAATAATTATGTAATTTTTTGTTTTATTAAAATCTGATTCATCACTTATACACAAATATACACAATATTTTTATTTGGCATAAGTATAAAACTATTAGAGTAATATTTTAAATATTTTTGTATATATATATATACCTCAAAAATAATTTAATTATATTTTCACAATCAGTTCGTCTCTCCTGTTATCCTTTCATTTATCCATTAAGAAGATACAAAATTGAGTCATCTATAATAAAAAAATTCTACTTCTTATTGAATAATATAAAAACTTAAAATTTTTTCCTTACGATTACTTCTTTACGAATAAAACTCCTTTACTTCTATTATAAAATTTAAATAAGTCTTAAGACTTTTTTAAGATTAATCTTCAAAATTTGTTTTGAATTTCTCATTGAATTTCTGTATTGTCTTTCTAGTTCCACTATGAAAGTTTTACAAAGCAAGTAATATAAATCATTTCTTTAATTCTTATGCATATATGCAAATTGTAACATAACATTACATATGTATAGTTATATACATATGTTAACGCACTAAAGTAATATGTACCAATGTTATACTATCTATATGTTTAAATATAGTTCCAAAATAATATTACGTATAAAATACAAAAACCCGCATATAACTAGAAAAATAAATAATAAGGAAGGAGTGGAAATAAAAATCATTTCTTCTGCAATGTGCACTCAGATATAAACCATTAACTTGGATTTTTCAACAAAATTTTTTTTAAGATATTGTTATTTATTTTCTTTTCTTCGTTATGGTAAATTGGAGAATAAAAAGAGTGAGGAATAAATAACAAAAATAATAAAAACAAAAAAATATACAAAATATTAAAGAGATATGGAAGTTTGGACAAAACAACAATCATTTTAATAAAACACTTTCTTTTAATACGTTATGAGAAACGGTCGCTCGGTAAAATTTTAATCTTACCAACTGGAAGAAAAAATTCATAGAAAATAAATAAAATATATTATTAATTTTTTTTTTTAACTCTAATGTTTTTTTACGTTTACGCCTTAAATCTCTTTAAAAACGAGAATATTTCGTTACGCAATCCGTGTGTACCAAAAGCGTTATATCTCGATATTCTCGATATACCAAAAATTTGGAGAATTTGATCGTTGTGAAAATTTTAATTGTACTTCTTGTGCCTGAAATACAAAAATAAAAATTAAAATATTAGTTAATAAAAAATTTTAGTTGTATTATTTAATAAAAAAGAAATATAAATTAATTAAATAAAAATAATAAATAACAAAAAAAAAACAAAAATGTACAAAACTTACACAATTTATGCTGTTGGCACCTTATTTTCACTATTTTTAACTGTTCAATCTGGCAGAGAAATAATTAACAACGCACCGCAACTAAAAGAAAGACGTAAGAATAATTATATAATCATTATAATGTTTATAATTTTGACAGGAATTGTACGAGATAATCAATGTAATTTCTCTCTGATGAAAAATTGCAAAATTGTTTTTTAAGAAAAAATAATAAAAAAAAAGTGTTACAAAATTGTTTACAAATTGGTATTCAGCAAATCGAAATATTATTGAATATAATATTTACCTGATCTTAAAATCGAAAAATAAATTTACATATTACATTATGAGATCCAAAATTCAATAATTTCGATTGTGATTTAAAATTCACAAATTAAATAAAAAAATAAAAATTTTTCGAAAATCGTTTCAAAAAAATTAGTTTCAAAATAAATCTAAAAATTTAATTTTTTAAGCTAAACTTTATGGAATTTGAACTATTTCAATTATTTAAATTTGAGAACAAAAAAAGTTAAAAAAAAAATACCAAAATATATTGTATAAATTCGAACATTTGGACCTATAAGAGCCCAACTAATTTTCTTTTTACTTATTGCCTTTATTAGACGCTTATTATTCTCACAAGCGCTGCCAGGATTGAGAAAGGCAATTCTATTGGAATAAACTCTACAAGGATTGACTATAGTGGTAGCTTGTGGAGTTTATTCCAAGAGTGAATATACTAGCACATATTTTTTTTATTTCATTTTTTGCTTTTACTTGGACAATTGTAATACATATTATTAGAACTCGTCTTTCTTCCTATTCAGACAGTTGATATAAATTTTATTTATTCGTTTCATTCCCATAGCTCAGAAGCTTTATCGGCAAGGGGAATAAAACGTATTTCAAGCATATTGATGCTTGTCATTGTCTTGGAATCATAGATTGACATAGACATCTTTTTCATACCACTGATAAAGACATTGAACAAAAAAGCATATTTGGAGTCTTTAAACTACAAAGCAGCCATTAAATAATTTTAATGCGGAATACGAAATAAGATATAGAATGAAAAAGGTTCCTTGAATATTTCAAATTCTTCTAGCTTGAAGCATTTAATGTTTTTAAGTTCAACAATTACAAAATTTCTAGTAAATTCATTCGAAAAGCGAAAATTAATTTCTTGTAGCTGAATGTGTATTATTTGTGAATTAATTTTTTGTTTTTGATGTTATCTAATATTTATTTGAAGTTAAAACCATGCCAAATGATAAATATTTATTTTTTACTTTTTGTAAACTATTGCACATGATACACCTTCTAGTTTTACTGAATAACTCTGCTATATCTAAATATTATACTTTATTATAATATATAATCTACAAACAGAAATATGTACATGTGTATATTGTAAAAATATTTCAAACGATTAATGATTATTATGTAATACATATATAATATTTATTCAAAAAGGAATGCCGAAATGTTTATAATATAATTAAGTATGTGTATATTCACATATGCATATATGTAAGTATGTAAATTTGACCTTACTCCAGTATAACATGATTTGTTAATTCACTGTAAATAATACGATACGAATACACTTTTATACCATTGTTTAACGCGGTATACCTGCGTATATATGTTACAATACGCAATGAACTCGTCATTTATATGCAATATATAAATTAGACAGTCAATCATTATTGGAACAAAGTAACATACTTCTGCAATATACAGAAACAAATTTGTGTACCTTACACAATATTTTTATTGCGATGTTTTTCTAAGTACATTTTTTTTTATTTTAACAATTCATCATTTTTTATTATGTTTCAATATTTTATATATAATATACATTATTTACATACTTGTACATAATGTATATATTATAAAATAATATAAAAAATAATATTCCATTCATTGAACTATGATGACAATTTACTCCATTGCTTTTTCATCATCGCAATAAATATTTCTCGGTAAGCCTTAGTTAATCAAAATTTTGTTCTTTTTAAAAATATAAGACAAAAATTTTATTTTGTAGCGTTTTTGTAGCGTTCACTTACATTTTATAGTAACAGATGTTAGAATACAGAAATTTCCCCAAATCACCAATAACCAGGTGTTATTCAAAAATGTTTACTGTAAATCTCCAATTGAAAAGTTAAAAAACATAGTGCCTTTTGAAAATTTTCTAAAACCAAAACAAATCGTTTCAACTGGTTTGTTTTAGTTTTAGCCACATTTCAATGAAATATCTATCAATTTTTTTAACAAAAACTCACTTAAACTTTTCAATAACCAACAGTTTTTAAAAATTTTTTTTAATATCTTGTGCACACATCACAATGTATGTATTTATTAAATTTTAATACCAAATTATTTCAATTAAATTATTAATAATTTTTATAATGAATCTACTTGCAGCTGAATGGTTATTAACTTGTAAACGAGAAAATCCAAATGAAAATTTTTGTTTTCAAAGATTATTTCAACAATCATTTCCAGCTTTAGCAAAAGGTATACCAGAAATTGGAATAAAAAATTTTGAACCCTTATATATTGATGGAGTTTCTGTTTCAAGAGGTAGTGGAAATTTAGTTTTAACTGGTGGATTTGAAAATTTAATTATAAGGGGTCCTTCAAATGCAACAGTAAAAAGAGCTTCGTGAGTATTTTAAGATATTTTTTATTAGTAAAAAATTTTAATCTTTAATAATTACGAGTACTTCAAATGAATAGATTAATTTAATAATCTCAGGAGATTCCAAATTATGTATGTACTTTAATCTTATTTACTTTACAAATATTCGAGTAAATATTGAAAACTTATATACATTTAACACATATTTTAATGATTTTAATAATAAATGTAAATTAATAATCATCTTCGTTTTTCACAGATTAAATTTGGAAAAGAAACTTTTGAGTTTTGATTTAGAAATTCCTTTACTACGAATAAGATCGAATTATAATTTAAAAGGTAATATTTTGTTACTGCCATTAGTTGGAAGTGGAAATGTAAATTTAGCTTTAAAGGATGTCAAAACATCAGTTTACACAAAAATCAGTCTTAAAAATAAACCAGAGGTATGTAACTCATTAACGCGCAAATTTAAGCTAAGTAATAAAATATTATTTTTACAATGACATACTACAAAAATGTATAACTATTAATATATTACAAGTATGTGTTGATGTATGTGTGTATATTTTTACTAATACTTTGTTTTATATTTTCAGGAAGTTATTCATATTGAAGATATGAAAGTAAACTTTTTAGTTGGGGATATGCGTATACATTTAACAAATTTATTTAATGGCAATGAAATACTAGCAGCTTCAATAAATTCATTTCTGAATCAAAATGCCCATGAGGTTATTGCTGAATTACGAAATGATTTAGAAAGTGGCTTAGCAGATATTTTTAAAGCTTTATGGAATAATGTATTTTCAAAAATGCCTTTAAAATTATGGTTACTGTGATTTTGTATAAAAAAAACTTGATTTAGTTGGACTTTTAGATAATTTAATATATTATATTTACATTATAATCTTATAGAAAATTTGTATCAGGTTTTACTTACATACATACATATATGTATAGACTCAAAATTTTTTTTTATAAATTTAATTAGTATTATTATGAATTTAAGAAAAAATGTAATATATGTATGTTTACACTTTACATAATTTCAACATCATTTTATATATTTATAATCCATAAATATTAAAATAAAATTGTTTTATAAATAAAGTAAAGTTTTTTAAATTTATATTTTTTCAGCTCAACTCAAAAAGTGGTTTTCAAAAGTAAAACGAATTAAGGGAGATTTACTGTATGTAATGATTATTTTAGTCATATTCGAAACTTGAACTTAAAGCGACGACTTTTTAACGTTCATTATAATGATAACATCCTAGTAGGCTAATTGTTTTACACATATACATAATTCAAATGTAATTCATACTTATTGGGATCTGCCTAAAGGAATTAAAATATTTTACATCAGATTAACTTTTGTTTTAATTTTCAGTAGCTCTAGAAAAGGTTAATAGAAAGTAGTTATTTTATGAAAAAACAGACACATAAATAAAAACAATGTTGTGCATTACAAATAAACTTAAACTTTTAATCCCGTTAATTAAACATATGTACATATTTCTTGGCAAAATTAAATTATTAAAGTTATATTAATATAAAAAATAAGAAAGTTTATTATGGTTTAAAATCAATTTGCTTTTCGCGGTCCTTGTGCAATTTCGATAGTAAATGTATCCTTAATTGCATTATATCATTCAGATTTTGTCCACATAACTCGCATCTAATATTATTACCAGAGATTGTAGCATTTCTAAAAAAAAAGAAAATAATAAATTGATTTTAAATATTAACAAACGTAACAAATTTACGTGTATATTCTTTTATATTCATGAAGTAATTTGCAATTCTTTCGTAAGTTTTCAACGTGCTGATATGGCTCGTTATACAAACGCATATGATCATGCAACGGAAAAATAGATCTATCCATATATATGTTTTTAATTGCACGCATATCCTTACTTTCCACTTGATTCCAATCAGTGCCATTAAAATCTTGTTCACATTCTATATATTGCCTATCTTTTTCCAATAACCTATAAAAATAGAAGTAAATTTAAAAATGCTTTATGTTAGAGAATATTGTGAAGCGTTTTACTGTATTAAAAGCTGTTTAACTCTTGCTGTAAAGTTGTATCTTTCCTTTTGCGAATTTGCTGGAAATTCTTCCCCAGCGTTTGTAAATAAAATGCTATCCATGCAAAAGCGAATTTTGTTAATCTACAAAATATGTAACTTATTTATATTAATGGAATAGACAATTTCATTTAAAATGAACTTACTATTTCGATATCATTTTCAGAAATTTCCACATTTAAATTCAAAAGAATATCATGTTCGGGGAATAATGATCTTCTAGGATCATTCTCGTGTGATCCCAATCCACATAATATTGAAGAAAATCTTGTTTTATTTTTATTACGCCTCATCTCCATTTTTGGACTAAACATCAAAACCATTAGTGGCGCGAAACCTTTAATATTTGGCATTAAACTTGTTTGGCGGGCAGTTATTGTATCCTTTTCCACAGATTCATTAATTGATGCTGCAACAATCATTCTTTCATGTCCATCTTGTGGATCAGAATTAAGAAGAACACAGTTAACGGAATCACGTTCAATACGTACAGTTTTGTAAGTGCCTATTCTAGTAGCTGAAAAACAAGTAGTTTCAAGCGGGCTTAAAGGACCTCGCAAATTCAATTTTATGGTACACTTGTTATCTGGGGGCGGATCGAGATTTAAATTCTTCGCACCATATTCGGATTGTCGTATATAATCTTCAAGAAAAGCACGTTCATCTTCTTGATTTTTGGAAAAATTTTCAAAATTCTTGTATCTTTGCTCAAATTGCTTGCGAGTTCTTAAATCGTTATCAATCTATATATATTTATTAAAGATTAATAATTAAGAATCATAAAAAATTATTTGATAAAAAAGTTCATTAAAAATATAGATATGCAAAAGGTACGTTGAGTTGGAAAAATATTTTACCTTTGACATATAATTTTCTTCACAATATTGAGCAAAATTTTTTTCCACGAGGATATCATTAATAGTTTCAGAACCAATATGAACAAAAGTGGCACATATTCCGTTCACGACTGAATATATTTCTAGTACAATTTCTTTATTCTTTTCATACTCTTGTTTCATTACATCTTTGAAATAGTTAGTTGAATGTTCAATCCAATGACCAGATGTACAATTAATGGCAGATGGAGCAATTCCTGCTAAATAACATTCAAAAACTCTGGGAGGTAAATCTACTAAAACCGAATTTTGATGGTTCTGATTTATACCATACAAGTCAGATAAACTTATGGACAGCACGTCCCCGTAATCTATAAAAATGACCTACAAAAAAATTTAAATTAAAAATTTGAAACTCAAAAAAAAATTCACATATGATAAATACTCTAAATCGAATGTTGCTTAATTTTGATTCTTCCTCTCTACGTAAAATTTTTGCTCTAAAGAATTTTCCTTTATGTTTAGCGGCGACTATCATTCCACGACTTACTTGATTATCGCTTGCAAATTTATACAACGATTCATTATTATTTAACTCTGCGACAATATGTTTAAGCTGATTTTCCACTTGCTTTGGACGAAACCAAAATTTACCGCAGTTCTCGATCTATAAAATTAATTTCATATAAACGATAAAAAAAAATTGTTGAAACACCTACATAAGAAATTCTTCCTCGTTCAAATCTTGTAAAAACTGATGGTAAAACTATTAATTCAGCCTCTTTGATATTATGTTTATAAAACTCAAATTTTCCATCAACAATTTGTCCCAAATTCTTTTCTGAAGCGTAAACAGCTATATCACGAGCGCTGAGATTAAAACAATCTAGTGAGAAAAACTAATATATGTATAAAGATAAATCAATTACGGCATGACTTTTATAGTTGCTGGAAAATGGAGCTGTCTCATTTTCACAGCTTTGTACACTTCAGGTTGCACACGACCAGGTAGAGCCAATCGAACATTGTTAATCGCAGAATAACTTTCCATTCTATTGAACTTCACAAATATTTTTTGAGTACCCTCTTCAAATTCTACTTCAATATTCTTATAAGCTATCATAGCTTTTTTGAATATATCTTTAATAGATTTTACGTAAAATTCACCAATATATTTGTTATCGAATCCTGTAAAATAAACAGTGTTGCATGGATTTCTACCACATAAAGTCTGATATGCCCCTTTCTCACTTTCATATTGGTCAATAGTTGCTCTTAGAAAGTAATTAGGATAAAAGGCCCCTATGTACAAAATATTGTGTAATAAAACAGTAAATGATAGTAATAAAAAATAATGCAATTCGATGTTTTACCTGCTATAGCAACTTTTAATGCAATAGCCCTTTCATGATCAAGCCAATTGACCCGATATGCTCCTGTATTTTCTTTAATACCAATAAATTGTAAACGAGATTTTAATTCCAAAACCAAATAGTGCATTTCCTTCATTGATCTCGAATTAATATAAAAACGTCGAGACCATGCCGCCTCAGCATTTTCATTTTTAAATTGTCCCTGTTCATACTTGCTTAACCAAACCTTAAAAATATAGTTTAAAATACCATTTCGTTGTATTTCGTTATAATTTGTATATTAAAATACGTACTCTATAAGCGCTTATAATAGCGAATAAATCACTTCCGGATCCATCAGACCAAGTCAGCTTTGAAGAGTAAGCAGAAAGCTGAGCTTGATATGGGAAATCAAATATGCTTTTCACATTTAATCCAGCAGCTAATATAAAAATAAAAACTATATGAATATACATTTAATGAGAATTAAAGATTCCAGTACCTATAATAATAGTTTCTTCTAAAATACTGAAAATATATCCAAAAATTATTAACCGGGATAGGTGAATATCAATCGGAAGTTGTGCCATCACTCTTCCCACAAAAGTTAAATCTGCGTCATCTACATCATATGTTCCATTAATCGTGGAAAATAATGCACCCACTTCTTTTAATGTTAATATTGTGTTGCGAATATCCGACAAATTCGGTGGATCCAACGCCAAACCTAATATATTATTAGGGGGCCCCATATCCAGCATCTTAGCTTTCAGCACAATATTTTCCAAAGGACAACGCGTCATTTCCGGTGATGACTGCTCAGGCATGTGAAGCTATAAAACATATAAATTGTACGATAACAATTTTTTTTTTAAATTTTGGGTAAACTTTAAGTTGTTTTACTTTTCTTTTTCATTGTAATTACTTACATTATAAAAATCTTTTGTTACAAGCCTGAAGACTCGCCCATTCATCACACGACCAGCTCTACCCGCTCTCTGTTTACAATTCGCCTTGCTAGCCCATTGGAGTTGCAAAGATGTTAGATTTGAGCTAGTATCTGTCACTAAATTCTTAGTGAGACAAAAATCGATAACTATAAAATTTAATAATAATAATAATTTAATAATAATAACTATTAATTTAATAAAATATTAATATTAGAAATATGAAAACACATTAGAATTATAAATTTGAATATTATACGCACATACATACATATAAAATATTACATGAAGCTATTTAAATTTTGTATGTTCCGTTGCAAAAAAAAGTGTATGTCTAAATTTGCTTTATTAATTACCATATTTAACATCAGGAACGGTGATGGAACTTTCAGCGATATTTGTAGCTAAAATAATTTTCCTGTACCCTGGAGCAGGATTTCTAAACGCCTTCTGTTGCTCCTCCGGTGATATCATAGAATGTAATCGAATTACAGAAACGTTCATTTGTACAGCAATTCTAAATAACAAAACTCATATTAAAGTTTAAATTGAGCAGTTTACAATTCTAATATTACAAAGTTCTTAAACCTTCCAAAACATTTTCCATTTTATCAATTTCGTTTATGCCTGGTAAAAATATTAAAATGGAAGGTTTATGAGCAAGTTCCTGAGATTCAGAATCTGATTTGTCCAATATTTCCAAATTGATTATTAATTTCAAAACAACTTTATGTAAACTATCAGAAATACCAGGAGTATCGTAATCTATACGAAAATTTTCATTCTAAAAAAAATTTTTAAATTATTTTTAATTTATTTTACAAGAGTATTTTTACATCTGTTATTTTGCTCAAATCTTCTATATAAAATATCTTAACATTATATAACCTTCTTGTGTCTACTTTTAACACTGGTGCGGGGATTAATATTTTACCTCGAACAGTTTTGAAATATTCTGAAAACTTAAATCGAAAATTTTAAAATTTCATGATATAATATTGTTAAAATATTTTTACTGCTTTAGTATCGATTGTAGCTGACATTAAAATTATTTTGGTATCGGGTGCTTTTCGTATTAGCTTTTTAATTACGATTAACAAAAAATCCATATCTTGATCTCTTTCATGAACTTCGTCAAGAATTATATGAGTGTAGGATGCGAGATCCTTAGCTTTTATCAACTTTTGCAACAAAACTCCTGTTGTACAATATAGTAATCTGGTATCAGGATTAAGTTCTTTATGTAGACCAACTTGGTATCCAACAATTGTTCCAACTTTCCAATTTCTTTCTTCAGCAACACGTTGTGCAATGCTTATTGCAGCAATACGTCTTGGTTGTGTACATACAATGTTACAATATTCACGATTTTTATATGCATCATCTAATATAAATTGTGGAAGCTGGGTTGTTTTACCACATCCTGTTTCTCCTTCCAGAACCACAACGCGATTTCTATGTATTAATTCTATAATATCTTCCCGGGTATCGAAAATTGGTAAATCTATATGAGTTCTTTTAGAAAAATTATATTTTTCGTAAATGTCATCCTTAGGCTTTTTGTCCATATTAATATCTTCATCTGTGTCGTCTTCCATTGTTTCCATAAAACTGCGAGATATATTTGACGATCTGCCAGATGAAGGACCAGCTGATACAGCATAATCATCCTTAAATGCAATATATCATATACTTAGATTAAACTAAATATATTTCTTTTATGTGTAACTTACCTCAAGCACATTTATTTCTTCGGCCACAGCTAGTTTTTTTGAATATTCTTTGCCTATCACTTCCCGTTTCGGTATTACCTCACTCCGAAAAGTTTCATCTGGCATACATCTTCCATTTACGCAGCCACCTGAGACAACTGTTCTTTTGAAAGGCTTTGAGAAATCGAAAAAATCATTTATATCATCCATCACGTTCTAAAAATATTTTAAAATATAAGTATAAAGTTTCAAATAGAAAAAACAATTACTATTTCAAAATCTCCGATTGAAGTAATATACAATATAATGGATGTGTATATATGTATGTATATTGTTTATTTCTGTTGAACTTCTGCATTCGCAAAAATATATCAAATATCAAATAAATACCTACAAGTTATGTTAAATGTATTCTCAATTGGCATATTTACCTGTTTAAGTTTGTCTTAAAATATTGAAAAACGAATCTTTCAAATATAAAAGTATTTTCTTAATATTTTCAAACAAAAATTCCAAATATCAGTCAAAAAAAATCATGTATTGTATTCTAAGTATAATTAATAAAACTGTAATAATAGATTATGCACATTTCATGTGTGTACAGTGTTCGCAATTTCGTGTTCGAATAATCGAAATTCGTTGATATTACAGATATGTTCGTTAAAGTTATGTTAAACCATTAAAAAATATATTGAGCGTTCACTTACGTAAATTATTGTCAAAAAAGTTGCAAAACGTACAAAAATTTATACTGATATAATCCGCGTTAACCGCAGCCGTTATATGAAGTCGACATATGCTTCAAGTCAGTTTCAAGCTGCATATAAACTCAGTCTTATTTTTGACAATTCTTTTATTGTTTGACAATACATAATTGTAAAGAAAATTGGCTAGTGTGAATTTCAATTATTGTCAATTTTATTGTTATTTGTAAGACTTTAATGGGATTATTGTTCAAATTAATTGTTGATATTAATTGTTAAGTGATGATCACATAAATGAAGGTGATTTTCAGTTGATAGTTTATATTATTTTAAGACTCTATGTGAAAAAAGGTAAAACATTAGTAGTGAAATAAATTTTAATTTTTAAATATCTATATAGCATGTTGTTTTTTTATAACAAAACGAAAGTAGCGTTTGTATACATAATATACTAATTATTTAGTTTAAAAGAAATAAATCGACAGCAGTTCGAAAATTAGTAAAACTAATGGGAAGCAATCCGGAGGTAGCTCGTGATGAATTATCGTGGTTGATTAGTTTCGACTGTGGTAATTGATTACAGACCTTTATTACATATGCGTCAAATCAACGTATTTACAAACCCGCAGGCTCTATAATTAAATAAATATAAGTAAGCGAGCTGTATATATATATATATTTCTATAAGGTAGGGTTTACATATACGAAAAAATCAAAGATTTAAGCCGTCAATGAAATCTAGTGACATACACATTATACTTAAATAATCTCAAAATTATTATATATGTCAAATTGAAATTATGTCAAAATTTAACAATTTCCTACAAATCGCTGCTCAAAAACTTTTACAAAAAATTTATTATGGCCATTTTACTTCTTAAAAAAGGGAAAATAAATCTGATGAGAATAGAATAATAACTACAATTTGGCGTTAGAAACGGTTTACATAAAATCTTATCAAAGTTAAAGCTTAAAATTTTTTATCGAATTTAAGACGCCTTGGAATATTTGAGATTTCATGAGTTTAATAACGGACTGAATGGTATTTTTGTGGGAAGCGACCGTGAACTTTTTAAGGAATATAACATCTATTTTCGTGTATATGTATACGTATGTACGTATGCATTTATATGTATTTTTACTATTTTTTCGTATTACATTTACATAAGTACATACCATTGTTTATTAATCAATTGGCATGTGGTACCACATACCAATAGTTAATAAAAAATCTTATAAATATTACATTGAATAATAAACAATTGTTAACCAATCTGATAACACCATACTAGGCTTTTAAATATTTAATTATATACAAAATTTTAAATTTATTTAACAAAATACAAAAAACGATAATGCTAATATTTTTTGTTTTGGGTATTAATCCCACTCTTCTTCCGAATCATCAGCGACAACTTTGGAGATTTCTATATTATTCGCGAAACATAAGTTTTCTTCATGTTTGGGACTTTTACTACAAACATGATTTTCAAAATTACTCTTTTCGCTTTTCAAACTTGTTTTTTCGGTATCAGTAGTAGTACAACGTATATTTTCTAATTTTTGTTTTTTGGATACAGTTCCAAAATCATTAATGCTGTCAAAATTTTTGACTGGACAATCTTTCAATTTTTGCTCAGAAGAATTATTTATTGAATTCTCATTTTCGTCATCAGAATCCCAATTTTCCTCTTTCCCTTCAAACGTTTTTGATGTTTCACTATTACTAGCACATTTTTCTAATGCTTTTATAGGTTCATCTTCTTCATCCCAGTTTTCAGATACTTTTCTCCTTTGCTTTATTTTTTTATTGCAAATAACGTCGCACTTATTATTATTTTTGTCATTTTCAAAAGTACTAATATTCTCTTCATTGTCCTTATTAGAAAATCCACCATTTTCACTATTATTACAATATTTGTTATTAAATCTTTTATTTTTCTTATTGCTGTAACGATCTGATAACTTTGAATTATTACGATATTTCAAATTATTTCTGCTTCCGTAAGAATTTACTTCATTACTGGCTTTAAAAGATTCCAAGTTGGAATTTAATGCAACAGATGATTGCGGAAACTGTGACCTACAATTTTCGAAGTGAAAAGTAAAATTTTGATTTCCATATAAAATATTATTTGCAAAATTCATAGTTTTTGTGTGGACAGCTGCAGCTGTTGCCTGAAATGAGTTATTGCATCCCACACCAGTAATATCATTTGAATGAAAACCCAATAATGCTGGTTTATTAAAATGTACTGGCATGGGTGCTTGAAAAGAACCTACTGGAACTAAGTTTGATATGACTGGTAATTGTCGTTGATTAGACGGTAAAGTTCCCCAAAATCTTTCAAAACCACCAAAAAGCGTAAATCCGGTATTTTCAGTGCCATAATTCATATCAGAAATTGCTTTTTCAGGTAAAATAGAGCCATTAGAATCAATAAATATTTTTAAATTATTTAAAATATTTAAAATTTGACTATGATACTTCAATTTATTAAGGCAAAATTTTTTGTTTAGCCTATTATCCTGCTTGAATTTTTTTAAATAAGCAGCCAGATCTGCTATTAGTTCATTTATTTCCATTTTCGCTTTTGAATTTTGTTTGTTATACCAGGTTGAGTGATGCAAATAATATTGTAATGTTTGCATGACAGTTGGTTGTTTAAAATGTTCATATGTAGAATTACTAATATGAAGTTTTCGCGGATCTAAAAAATCTTTCTTGTACAATATATTGTTTTTGCTGTCATTATTATTATTATCTACAGAATTGCTAACACAATTACTATCCATTGGAAATTCTTTACTTAAATCATGAAAGTTTCCTTCAAATGAATATATTTCTTGATTAATAATCCTTTTTCTAATTCTTGGGTCGTTTGATTGCTGCAGTTTTTCTATTTGTTCTAAAGACATTGGCACCTTTGTAGGTAACACAATTTCAAACAGCTGGTTTATGTAAAAATATGAAAGCAAATATAATCCTTTGATTAGCTATTTATTTCAATTAATGTAATATATTTTTAATAAAAAGTTCATTTAAAAGAATAAAAACGAAATCGTGGTTAATTAAAATCAGAAAAAGTTAAATAAAATCCTAGAACGATAAAATCCTACAAGTATTAATTGCCGTACAAATGTATGTATGTATATTATCATATTACGTAGATATACACACATACATTTATTTTTAGATCCGTTAATTACAATTATCTGTTAAATTAAATGACCTATTAATTAATAATAGGTCATTTAATCTACAGAGTTTTTTTATTCACTTGTTCGCATTATGAAAGTCCGCTAGATTAACTTAAGTTCAGTTTGGAAGTAAAACCAGCTTTTCTGATAAACTTAAAATAAAAATGGAAGAGTTAAAAAAAAAATATTAAGAAAAAATATGATAAGTAAAATAACATGTTTCAATATCTATGAAAAAAAAATCTCAATGAAATAAAAATTATTTTATCAATAACAAAAAAAAAATTTCTAATTACGGATTTTTCAATTTTGATACAGAAATTTTCCAAAAAAGAGCAATACTTTTAACCCTTTCCACTCCAACGCTGTTTTTGTTTTTATTCCACCAGCTCCACGCTAACAGATGAAGCACAGAGATAAGTTGTTTACGACGCGAACATATAACGGTGCGATAACAACTAGTTTTATTATGTAGTATCAATAAAATTTTTACATTTGACAGATATTACACCATGTCGAGTTTCACACGAAAGTGGAGCTAGTGGAACAAAATCAGTGTCGAGTGACACTCGACATTGGAGTGGAAAGGGTTAAAATTAATTCTTTAGATCCAGTAGACTTTCATAACTATCACTAAGTACCGTAAATATTTTAATTTTCAGTATACAAACCTTCCAAGGTATTATTGAATGTGGCACAAAGGATCCGTCGCATTCTGTCGCAGGCTTATAATTTTGAAGAACTGAATTAAATGGTAATCGCATATCAAGTTCACCTGCAAAATTATAACGAATTTACAACTATAGATAATATAATTTACGTATGAAAAACACATAAATTGATATTATAAAGTTGAAATAACGATACTATTATAACAGTATAATAACATTGTGCACTTATTTATAATAATGAATACTATACATTGTAAATATAAACTTTGTTTTAAATTTTTACCGGTTGTAATTATCTTTATGTCTTCAAGGGTGTTAATGTTTGTTGATATTTTTCTAAGGGGTTTTGCTTTAATAAAAATAAAAATAAAAATTATGTAGCAAACAATTTTTTTTATTTTTCATTGAAGAATCATTGGAAGAAATTAAAACTTACCGTAATCATTGATCTCAACTAATAAAGGATCACATTTAGTAATTTTTCTGACATTGCTTTCATTGGTATTCAATTTATCATCATTATATTTAAGTGGAAAATCAGTTGCCACAATTTTAGAAACCTTTTGAATTTTTTTATAAAATATCTCAGAATGTTTTGATAAATCCTTAACTTCAACTTCCTTTAAACTTTGTGTATTTTGTTTATTGCTATTTTGCAATTCTGTACTTTGCTTGACATAATTTTCCTTTGCATTATTTTTAATATCGGGTTTCGAAAATTCAATCTTGAAAAAATATGAAAACATAATTAAGAATTTTTATGCATGAAACATTTAAGATTCTCAAGTTACATCTCCATCGCTTGTACTACAAGCTTCTTCATCTATTATTAAATCACATTCTTCTTCACAATCCTCTGTCTCCATATTGCATAGTAAATGTGTAGAAAACTCCGGTGGAGACAATTTTTCAAAATAAGTGTCCTTAACGCAACCCCTTAAATAAAAAATACATGCATAGGTACTTTGTATATCTTTTGAAAAAAAAATACGAAAAGAAATGAAATGAGCTGTGCAAAACTTGCAACATACAAATATATTTATGTAAGTTCAATATAATGTGTAATAAATGTTAAATTTTATAAATAGGTACATAGCTATAATATTTCACCAAAGACATTAAAAATACTATAATTATAATGTCTTTGATTTCACTCAATTCTTTTGATTTGGTTATTTGATCTACGCTGTCTATTTGCAATCTGTTTGATCTACGCAATCCTAACAACCAAAAATCCATTCTGAACGTCTAAAAATTCTTTAGTATACTTTAAAGAACTTTTTGAAATCAGGTAAGTATGTACCTATTTAAAAACATTTAAGGTATCTTCTTGAAATCAACAAAAACACTAGATTTCTAAACCAAAAGTTGAAAATGTAGTTATGTAAAGCATAAGATAGATCCATACAAACTTGTTCTATTTCTTATTTGGAAAATATAAAAAAAAACTTACTAATGGTAAAAATAACAGAATAAAAAAACTGGCTAATATAAATTTTAAATAATAAAAAAATTAATTTTTAAAATAAAATTTAAGTTGTACATAATTAAACTTACTGTAAAGAATTTTTGTTTCCATCACTTTGCATACCAACAGCCAATTCAGTGTTTGTATTATCAGTGTTGAAAACTTTGATGTTATCAGTTTTCTTTATTTTTTCTTGAATTTTAACAATTTGCATTACACTTATTCCACATCTATTTAATTCAATCATTGAAAGCGCAAGTAGTTGGTATGAGAAAAGCACTCCAATTTTCTTCAAAGCCTCTATTTGAGATTTGTTAAAAATATCATTGAACTGCTCAATTTTTAGAAGATCTGGGAGAGCAGAGTTACTTGAATAACAAAAACAAATGTTTAAAGAAACAACATAATAGGAAATTGATATATGTATTATATTATAATTTGTATACCTATGCATATACGAGTATATGCATAATAGATAGGTATTCAGTTTTAAATCATAAAATTAAAAAATTTACCCGGTATGCGCTAAATTCATATCAGTTTTATTATTTTCTGATTTAGTCTGGTAGAATGTTGATTTATTTTCTAATGATTTCTTGTCAGTACATGCTAATTCTGCAAGCCGCTGGCTCAATAACATCTTAGCATGATTATGTGACATTTTGAAATCTCCCAAAATCTCTTTGGGAGCTGTTTTAATATGCAATAAAAGAGCTTCTTTCATTTCATCAGATAATAAGCCTCCATGCTTCAATTTACATTTATTTTCGTCTGGACAATTTAATCCTAAGTAATAATATTTACACGGAAATTGTGAATGCAGAAACGTGCAGTTTTTTTCAGTTTTTCCGCACTTATCTTGAAGATAATATTTGCATATTTTTAATTGTTGCATAGAAGACGACATTGTTGAGGAAGAACTTGAATTACTTGCCTACAAGAAATTAAAAAAAAATAAACATATTTATGAAATTTTTTAATTTTTTCTTACTTCATTTTGATCTATTAGACTATTTTGATTTCGTTTAGGGTTTTCGCTTTTAGAATTTTTTTTTGAACTTCGTTTACTTTTGGTTTTGTTATTCTTACAAACCGCTTTTTTTCTACAAAAAGAATTTGCATCACTAAATAAAAAAGATGTTGGACTTGCACCCCTGACAAAAATATTATCATCTTCTTCAATTGGCGCTTGGTCATCATCGGGATACTTATAAATCTTCTAACAAACAAAAAAACGCATAGATGTTTGTAAATAATCCACCCAATAAAAAACAATTCATTTTAAAAACGGCTATCGAAAATTGCTAATTTATTAGGATTAAATTTTTTTGTTTATAACATACTTATGTACATATATGTATGTGCATACATAATATGTAAAAGCAAAACAAAAATGTTTGCTACTCATGTAGTATTTAATTCGTACCATCTGCATGTACATATTTATTTCAGATATTTAGGTATTATTCGAATTTACCACTCAATGTATTATTTCCTAAGAAATATTCAAATGTCAAACTGAACCGTTATAAAAATGCTAATCTAAAGTAAAAACATATGTTACATATAATTATGTATGTATATGTACATATGTATACATTACATAATAATGCATACATATTATTAAACATTTTTATAGCAAATTGACATTTACATGGATTTCACAATTCAAATAAATTCGATCCAGCTTAGAATTGTACTTCAGTACTTATTAACTTCCAAGCTTCACCTCAAATCTTCAATAATTGTATATGTACATATATGTACAAAAGTATGTACATATATGTACAAAAGTATGTACATATGTTTGTATAAAAAGAAACACTCCACAGGCCAAAATCTAATTGAAGTGGCTCTTCAAACTTGGTTTATGCAAAAATGTCATATTTCAAAATTATGCTTTAAGCAAATATGCTCATACATAAGTATGTATATATGTACATATATACAAATGTATTTGCATATACATATTTACTTATGTTTGGCGTTAGCGTTCAAATTTTTGCCTATGAGTATACTTAATGCCAAGGTTATGATAGCCAAAATAAATGCGGTTTAGCATTTAATATTACCTTGTTATTTTTATAATTTTCAGTTAAGCTTTTGTTTTTGATTTGTATTTCAAAATCAGATAATAGATTTTTAAAATCCAAATTCATTTTAATCGGATTTGTAGAATGATTGTTACTATGGCTATCCATACTGGTATCGTTGTTATGATTATTTATAGTCAGGCCATCACTTTCATAGTCAGAAGTTAATTCGCCGTCTTCAATAGTTTGTTCTTCAATTTTATCCATAATTATGTATGCATGCATGTATGCAAAAGAATTTCGGATTTGTTTTAATAGGCAACTGTACTTATTAATATCAAATTTTATTATTTCATTAATGTAAGTATGTATAAGAAATATTTTCTCTTGCAAGAATTGGTTACAAACTAAATTGTTTTTTTTTAGGAAGAAACAAATTCCAACACTTAACAAACGAAAACAAAAAGCAATATAATTCAATTTGTTCTATAAGAAAATTTGTTCTCATGAATATTTCAGTTAAATTTTGTGGTTTTCTGATCATAAAATAAAAGCCTGCTATGCTATGTAAATTACTTATCAGGATAAAAAGTTGCTTGTATGAGTTATGTACATACATATGTAAATATGTTTTGGAGATAGCCAGATGTGTAAAAATATTAGAAGTACAAAATGAGAAAATTATTACCAGATCTGTGTATTTTATTTGAAAATTTTCAAAAATTTGACTGCCTGATTACTTAATTTGTTTGGCAGGCAAAATTGAAAAAGTTTCCCGTATGTATTTTCTTAATAACCATTTTTCTTTGAAATTACAAAAAAAAAAACATATTACACTACACGTCATATTTCATTGTGAAAAACAAAGACGTACTAATTTATTAGAGTGGCGATAGAGCCCTTTTCTCTCTAATGGAAATTCATATCCACTTCAAAATAAATGCCCACTCATAGAATTGTACAAATTACGAACTTAGCAACGACGTAGACTTTTTAATGATCACAAATTTCTTTTGTAAAGATTATAAATCATTAATGGCAATACCATTTTTCGGAACGTGAAAACAATTTTCATACAAAAGTAAATTCTTTAAAATATCCTTTTGTATGAATTAGTTTTGAAATTTTTTTAATTTTTGAATATTTTTGAAAGTGGAAAAAAGTGGAAAAGTTTTTACCAAATATGAACTTATTTCCCTTTATAGTTAGAGAAACTCAAAACTTAAAGAAAAAAATTGACTGTTACGTGCGATTATTTCTTTCGTAGACTTTTGAGGGTTATTTTTGCTACAAACGTAATTTATGATTACTTCATTACGAATATTCGAAACGAAATCCTAGTAAGTTGTAATTGACACCATGATATTTGTAACTTTCCGAGTTTCAGAGCTACAAGCGAAATTCATGATAGGGCTGAATATATACATACTCAATTACTTTGCGCTGAAGTTCAATATAAACAAAACTTTTCTAAAAAAAATTATTTAAGATTTTGTAAATTTCTTTACGATTAACATTAAAACGACAGTATAAAAAACGTGCATTATTTTAAACTTTTTGAGAATTTAATTTTTGTTTTATGTACTTTTTTTTATCTAGGTCAATGTTTGAGAAAACTTTTTGGTTAAAAAATACTAAAAAAGCACTTTTTGCAAAAAGGTAAAATCCAGAAAGTACTTACATTTGGTCAGCTTTTTCCACATTTAGCTTATTTTATTTTGGTAACAAGTGTAGTATGTACATATGCACATGTATGTGCGTATATTGTTTCCTGGTATATATATATGATTTTGTATCCATATTTCACATGAATATGTATGCATATTATTATATTATATATTCATAGTAATTCATATAAGTATATATGCATGTACCTACATATTATTACGTACGGCTTATACTAACAAAACTGTTTATATTTTCATAAAATAATAAAACAAGTAAGTTTTGTAGATTGTAGATAAAAAATTAATTTCTAATAAGTGATAGAAACCCAATTCGAAGGATAGTATGTAAATATATAAGCACATATGTATGTACATAATATGTAAATGCTTGATCAACGTTTTCACAACTGCCTAACTACGTACGTTTTTAAACGCACTAAAACTTCATATGGATGTTTGTGAATGGACATAATGAAAGTATATACATGAAATACATACATATGTACATATATAATAAAATTTTAACGTAATTAAAACATGTTATGGTCTGGGAATACGGTCAGTTCCGTATATAACCATGGAGGTCCTCCATGACAACTGAAGGCCAGAATACATACCAAATTTTCATATTCGAAAATCTAGGAGAGTTTAATAAATACATAAAATTATAATTTTGTGAGTAAACTCAAAATGAAGTAAATAAAACACAGTATAGAACACAGATTTTCGTTGATTTCTTACAATAACATTAGTGTTAAAACGTTTGGTTTTGTTTTTAACAGTAGCCCTATACTTAGTTTGCGTATACATAGGTTATATATCTTATGTGTACATAATACATATACTTACATATACAAATATTGAACATAATATGGTATATGATAAGTATATTCTTTTTAAATTTTGTTTGGGTCTAAATAATCAGAGAGGGAACTTAAACAATAAGAGAGCGGACTTCTTTGTGATTTGAAAAAAACGCATTGGAAAATATACATAATAATGTAAACTTGCAGATACGTGTAAAATTTACAACGTTATTTTTCCGAAAACACTAAGCTTTTTTTAAAAATAGTTTAGAAAATACTGAATTTTTCTGTATATATAACTCAAAACTCTCAAAGAAAAAAGTTTTGTTAACGTTTACGTTTGTCAGTTTTTGTACTTTATTTAAAAACTGATCAAAATATTAGGTCTGTCTGGTATGAGGAAGTTTTAAAAACTTTATAAAGTTTTCGTATGTTAAGCATCTGGTATAGTAGTCTGTCTGGTAAATTTATGAAATTTGAAAAAACTTTAAAAAGAGAAACAATGAAGTAATTTTTTAGAAAAAATCTCATTAAAAACAAAACTAACCAGACGGAAAAACTGAAAAAACTTTATAAATATGATAAACGTCAAATTTCAAAATATTTATCAAACATAAACAAATATTTTTTGGTTATGCAAAATTATGATTTTGGATTGATTTTGCATTTTTGGAAAGTGTGAAAGTTAGAAAAACCATTTGTAAGTAAATTATGTTTATTTTTAATTAGAAAAGTTTTGAAAAAAAAATTATTGTTGATGAAAAATTTTTTTAGAAAAGTAAAACTTTGTGACATAACCAAGAAAAACATATGTTTGACAGTTATGAGATTTTAAAAGTTTTTAAAACACTAAATTTTATTTATAAAATTTGAAAAAACTTTAAAAATTGAGAAAATCAAAATGTCATTATTTTATCTCGTGAGAAAATAAGATGTCTAATATATAAATTGACAAAAATATCTGAGTTCAGCCTGGCGTTAATAAATCGACTCTATTTTGAATTTGTTGTTCAATAATCTATTGTGAATTTTCAAATGTTATTTGTCATTAAAGAATATAATTTTGGTTAGGACGCCGCTAATTTAGATTTAGATTTCGCAGAGTATTAGATTTTTGCTTAAGAAAATATTAAAGATATTCAAATAATGGTGGAGAATAATGATATTGCATTGACTGAACATGAAGCTGAGTTATATGACAGACAAATCCGTTTGTGGGGTTTAGAAGCTCAAAAAAGGTAAAAAAAAATTAATTTGGAACTTTGTTAATTTGGCTCTTCATAGGTTACGCGGATCTAAAATTTTAATTGCTGGTGTTAATGGTTTAGGGGCCGAAGTTGCGAAAAACATTATTTTAGCAGGTGTTAAATCTGTTACTTTGTTAGATGATCAGAATGTAACATTAGGTGATAGTTGCTCGCAATTTTTGTCCCCAGTTGATTCTATTGGTTTAAATAGAGCTGAAGCTTCAATTCATAGAGCTCGTGCACTGAATCCAATGGTAGAAATTACTGCTGATAAAGAAAATATTTCAGAGAAAAAAGATGAATTTTTTGAGAATTTTGATGTAGTTGTAGTAATTGGTGCATCAATTGAGGAACTTTTAAGAATTGATAATATATGTCGTTCCAAAAATATCAAGTTTTTTTCGGCTGATGTTTGGGGAATGTTTGGATATTCATTTGCAGACCTTCAAATTCATGAGTTTGTTGAGTATGCTAATTTCTTATTAAATTGAAACTTTCAATAATTTTTCAAATTTTTTAGGGACAAAGTAAAACATAAAGTGGTTTCAAAACCTCATGAGAAATCAAAAACAGAGTTGGTTACATCTACAATGAAAAGAACCTTAGAATTCCCAGAATTCAAAAGAGTTATAGAATTTGATTACAATACACCAGCATATGCAAAAAGAATGAAGAGAGTTGGTCCAGCCTTTCCATTATTGAGAATATTGCAAGAATTTCGGACAAAACATAAAAGGGATCCAAATTATGAGAAAAGGATGGAAGATATAGAGGAACTTAAACAAATTCGTGATGAAATTGCCGACAAATTAGTGCCGGATAATGATTTTGAAACTGTTTTTGCCCAGATATCACCCGTCGCTGCTATAGTAGGAGGGCAATTGGCTCAAGAAGTTATTAAAACTGTTTCGAAAAAAGAAGCACCCAATCTCAACGTGTTCCTCTTCGATCCAAACACTTGCAAGGGTTTTATTGAAGCAATTGAATAAAAATATATGTGGATTTGTATCTGAAATATTATTTAATAAAATAAAAATTTTAAAATCTGTATTATTAATTATATTATTGAAAAAAATCATCTTTCACGTGAATTTTATTTGTAGTAAAAACATACGAAATTTATTAATTTATGGAATATTTGCCAAGTAATCTTTAACAGTTGCTGGGTCTAGCCGCTTAAACCCACTTCTGTCGCAGACTCCTATTTCGATGTTATCGGCCGTCATTTTACCTTCAAAACCTTCCTTCAAAACCAAAATAGCTGTATGAACTGCATCGTCTAGTTCTAAATCTTCACTATACCTGAAAGAATGTTTTTAAATTAGTGAAAATGTACCTTTTATCTTTTTGTATCTTTACCTTTTCTCTAAAAATGTTTTGCCATTATTCGCATTTTTGCCCATTGCTGTAGCTTTCCAGGGGAAATAAGCTCCGGATGGATCACATTGGAATAGGAATGGTTTATCGTTATCCCAGCCACAAATCAATAGTGAAACTCCAAACGGTCTGACACCACTGTTAATTTAGTTTATATTTTGAATTTGTCTTATATTTTAATTTATCTTCAAGAATTACCCAGATTGTGTATATTCTTGCATTAAAGTTGCAACTCTTTGAACTAATTGAGAAACTGGAATTGGCTCCCTGTAATATAAGAGGTAGTTCTGAGCCATTTTTCTTGCTTGTCGTACAAGAAGTCGATAATCCGGACCCATGCCAGAATACACCATTCCAATATGATCAGTTATCATTTCCACCCTATTCACACTATGTTCATCATATAAAATTGACTTATGCTTATTCTCAGTTGCTAAGACAACACCATTAGATGCCTTGATGCCTACTGAAGGAGCTCCTGCAGCAACTGCAGCTAAGGCATATTCGATTTGTACCAACTTCCCTGAAGGACTAAAAAAATATGTGTATGTATATATTTATAAGATTACAAGTCATTCCGAAAGTTAGGTTAAACAAAATAAAATTTGGTCTTATAATTATTTTTTTTAAAAACCTGAAAGTTGTTAAAGAAAAACTATAACGTTCAGATGCCATGTTGTAATAAACAAAATATCTTTAAAAATTTTTGAAGTCGTAACTGAATTACTATTTTACTAAAGATGATTCTCAAAAAATCTCCGAGAAGATCAAACTAAAAACAAAAACTGAAATTCTTGACGTATCACAAATCACAATTCACAATAATTACTTTTCAAAGTGACGTTTTTGTTCTATATTTTTCCCTTTCCCCTACAAATTTTTTTTAAATATATCTTTTCCTTTCATATTTTGCAAAAATGATGTTTTTTAACCATTATCATTTTGCTTTTTTATTGAAAAATTTGCCTTAACCAACTTATACCATTTGCATGACGAATATATACTGAGAGAACTGTAAGAATGACATTTTAACAAAACCTAAAATATGACAATTTTATGACAATTTTATACGTATTCGAATGTAAGACTTTTTTAACATCACGAATCTACATTAAAATTGATTTTTGCTAAATTTGTCTTTAAATTTCGGTATTTTGAATTAAAAATACAAAATAGAATAAAAGCTTTAAAAAAAAAATTAAGAATTTAAAAATGTATAAAGCATACCTTACGGTTGTAACCTTTACTCTCTTCAAATAATACAGGCTTATAAAACTATATAAAACTTTTCTGGGTTTTCTTAACCTAACTTTAATAATTACGACAAAAAATATCATATTCTTCAAATTCAACTAGCTTACTAAATTTTTGGGAATAGCACAATTTTACTATTTAAAAATTAGTAATTAATTCAGCAGATTTTTAAAAGTAAAGTGACAAAAACATGATATTCATGTTTCTTTTGTTATATTTAAGTGATTGTCAGAATAAACCTCAATATGAATTCGCAGTTAACTGCACTTATGAGATAATTGCATGATTGTGATGTTAGAACAGTACAACAATTGACTTGTATAATACTGAAGATTTTTCTTAGTTGTCAATTATCATTGGTTAATACGTCTACTGAATGGTTAGCAGCAAATTTTGAAATCATAGATATATTTGATTAAGTGATTTATGATATCTTAAACCGTTTAGTGGTTAAATTAATTTATTAGAATTCGGTCTGTTATAGTATTGAATACTGGTGAACATTACTTTCATTAAGTAAACGCTCTTCTACTTATATTCGTTAAAATTTGCTTTAAAGAACGAATATGTGAATATAAGATATAAATTGTCAATGTCAAACTTTAAATGCTGTCAAATTTGTTTGACTCTTTAGTTCAGTATAGAACGCGAATCGATCGGCAGGTGGATTTGTACTATAGAATATATAAATACTTACTATCTGTTAATTAGGTATATACATACAAACATAATACTTAAATCAATAAATCGACTCCAGTTTGTCGAAACTTCAGTGTTCTCCCGTGTTATATACTTCAACGTAAAAATTAAAACTAAAAAGAAACTTAGAATGGCGAGAGGCAATTTGCGCCGTGGAAATCCTATGCGAAACGCTAGACCTCCTTTCAAGCCGGCTAGGAAAACATTTGTTCCCAGGCATCCTTTCGATTTAACGTTGGCTGAGTAAGTTTAACATTTTTTATCACAACAATTACTCAGTAATTCACGAAATAACATTTTTGGTATTTTAGACCCCTATTTCAAAAAGTGGCTCCACAGCAAGATGACACAGCTTTAACTGCGGTAAGATATGTGAAACCTACTCTTAATTGCTTACTTAGATAGTCTTTCCTTTTTAAGGCCCTTTTAAAGCGCAACACAGATTTAACGCCTACCCCTGCAGAGCAGACTGCTATTGCAAATTTAGTAACAAAAGTTCAATCAGTTTTGGACAATTTGGTTGTAGCACCTGGAGATTTTAATACATGTGTAAGTAGTAAATGTTAAACGTATGATAGGGAGACTTAGAAAATGTAAAGTATGCGTAATATTTCAGCAACTAGATGAAGTTCGCCAAGTTGGTTCTTTCAAAAAAGGAACTATGATAACTGGTAACAATACAGCAGATATCGTTGTTATTTTAAAGACTCTGCCAACAAAAGAGGCTTGCGAAGCATTAGCACGTAAGGTAGAAGAGGATTTGAAAAATGCAATGAAAACTGAAGTTGTGACGAAGGCTGATCAAATCACGACCACCCAACATGACCGTGGTTTTGATATTTCGAACTGGCAAGCAAAAGTAAGAGTTTTAATTGCAACATTACCTCAAAATATTCGAAAACTCGAAAATGACATACACTTAGATCCAAAGGCTATGCAATCTCATTTAGCAGCCATACGGCATAGTCGATGGTTTGAAGAAAATGCACATCATTCTTCCATAAAAGTGCTTATTCGACTTTTGCGGGATTTGACAAAACGATTTGAGAGCTTCTCACCTCTTTCACCGTGGATGTTAGATTTGCTGGCGCATTTAGCAATTATGAATAATCCAAGCAGGCAAGCTTTGCCTATTAACTTAGCATTTAGAAGAGTTTTTCAACTTTTAGCTGCTGGATTATTTTTACCTGGATCAGCCGGGATAACAGATCCATGTGAACCAGGCCATATACGGGTTCATACAGCAATGACGCTTGAGCAACAAGATACTTGTTGTATGACAGCACAAACGTTATTAAGGGTTCTCTTACATGGCGGATATAAACATATATTAGGTTTAGAAGGAAATACAAGCATAGCTCGCGAAATGTCAGTTTGGGATGGTGTTGTCGTTTCTCCAGTGGAACCAGTATATGAAAGGCCTGCAGATAAAAAGGAGTCTGAGGGAATGGAAGATATGGAAGCTGTGGAAAATATGGGAGAAGAAGATACTATAATGGAGTAAGAAATTAAATATAAGACAATTTCATTCTACTTTTTATTCACGAAAATCTAGTTTTCAGTTTTAATGAAAAAATTAATAAGTATATTATAAATATGTAAGAACTTATATCAATAGCAGTTTAATAAAAATTGATTATGTATGCTTGTGATTATGTGGTTTTAAAATTGTATTGATTATACCTTGAAACACTGTTAAGGTCTAAACGCATGGATCGTGTTGAGGGCTAAAATGAGCACAAGTTGTGTGTTTTGTTAACTGAATTCGATACAATTTACCGCTTGGAATACAAACGCATATTTTATATTCAGTATTCTTAATTTGTGTTCCATATTGAGAGTTGGCCATTTGAATTTTTGACGTATCGAGGTAAACTCCATCTCCTCCCACTAAATATACAGATCCCTGCGTTGAATTTACCACAATTTTGTTTTCTGAAGCATACAACATAGATTTTCCTTCAAGCGTAAGACCTTCGGAACCTCTCACCGAAAGTTTATCATCAGATTCAAAAGTTAAAGGTTTACCGATGGGACTTGAAATTCGTGTGGCACTAATTCCTTTAGTTAACAAATTTTCTGCACCAGAAGTAAGTATGTAATGGGGTCGATGTGTAGTAAAAATAATGTCACCTGAATGAGGATCTTTTATTTCAAATTGGTTGATACCTCTGAAATATGTTCCGCTTTTATCCATGAGCATTTTAATATGAGATTGTCCTTTACTAATTAATTTAACATTAAAGCTCGAATCTTCAGCTGTTATAGACATGGGTTCATCAACGAAACTATCAATTTGTCCTCCACATTTATTTAGAATTCTATCTAAATCAGTTGAACCAAAAAACTTTATAGTTTCCTCTTCTGGAATCAGTTCCATTCCTTGCATTCCGCGACCCAATTTTAGAACACCAATTATAGTTAACGTAATTAGCAAATTTCCAATGCAAAGTATAAATAAAAGAGTCATAATTATCCAAAAAGCAAAAGTATTTCGATTTTTCGACATATTCATTTGATATTGTTCAATTCCAACCATATTTTGGTCATAACCATTCGGCAATTTTTTGTTGAAAATGCTGTTATTCAATGGAATTTGATCAATTGGTTCATTAGATGGTAGCCCATCTGTTAAAACTTCATCTGAATATGATGGAGATGGCCCTCGAACAAAAGTATTTTCAGTAAAATTAGACATTTTTAATATTTTGCCACTTTTCCTTTCTTTTTACTGTTTATATCCAATAATGTTTAAAACTTTTAAAAATTTGAAAGTATTATTAAATGAAATTAATTTCGGTTCAAATTGTTCTATTTCTGCTTTTGATGTCTTTTAAGTCTGTCAAAATATCAAATGAAGTACACTTGAAAATCCATTCATATGTATGTATCTATTATGTAAATATGCGTGTATGTATATATGTATACCTGAAAATATTGATTTTCCGATTTTCCATTTTCCATCCCAGGTGGCAAAATTCTACCCATTATTTGTCATTGCTTTGACGTTGTACGTATTTATGTACTAACTGGAAGGAATTAATAAATTCTAGTAAAGATTCTGGAATAAAACCGTACAGATTCTGGAATAAAGTAGAAAGTTAATAAAAATTGAGAAATCAGGTTTTGCAACAAATAACATATTATGTGAATATACATATATGTACATACATATGTAAAGAATATGTACATATTTACAGAATATACCTAAGTATATTCTGGACAAACGCGATTGCAAAAAGTAATCGTGGTTGTTCCAGAAAGCGAGTGAAATGAAAACAATTTTGCCGTTTATTCTTTTCTAAAATAACTCAATTTCATTTTCGGAATTGAGTAATTGAGCAAACAATTTTCGATATAAATATTTATAAAAAAATTACTTTCAACAAACAATATTCGATAAATCTAACTATTTAACAAATTTGGTGTAATGGTAAAAGGCCATAACGGTAAATATGTGACTGGGTTTCGATAAAAAACAATTTTTTAACGTGAAATTTTGAATTATGTTTTTTTTTGCAAATGTTAGAAGCAAATTCTAAAACTAAAAATAAAATATTCGGATATTAATAACAAAAATCTTTTAAATAATTGAGGGTTGATTGTTTTGTAATCATTAAAGTTAGTTATAATAAATGAATAAATGATTTGTTAATAAATGATTTATTAATAAATGGAATAAATACTACCTTATACTTAATTCATAAAACATACATGCATTAATTTTACTTGTAATTTACATAAAGCTAAAAATTTGAATTCAATTCATGGTTTTTTATACGAATTCAAAACAGAGAACATCATTGTTGAAAGCTGAATTCTTGAGAATAAAATGAATGAAAACGAAAATTTACTGAGGGAAGTGAAACCTGGCACACCGATTTCCGATTTAATGATTTGATTCCGCAAAAAATGGAATCTAGAACGACCAAGATTATTTTGATATTTCCTCACGCCAAGATTGTGTTTGTTTTTTATTAATACATACATACATATATGAATATCTTGTTTAGTTTTGTTTTTTTTATAGTTATAGTTATATCGATATATATATGTAAAATGTTTAAATGCATACACGGAATGGTCTACACTCGATTGTACTCCTGAACAAAAAGTGTTCAATTGATACCTACTTTTTTTTAATGGAAAGTAATGTCTGGAATTATGTTCTGACCTTCATTTTAGTATATTGAATTAAGCACAGGAATTTGTTATTAATTACTGCTGATTTTAAATGTTATTCAATTGAAATAATAATTACGGTAATTGCTACAACATATTATGAGAATGTTATTTTTTATCTGAATTATCTTGGCTCTTAAATTAGTAACTGATACTTTCTTAATTCATTATGGAATTCAGTGTTTTGTTTTTATAGAATTGTCAAAAATATATTGCATATTCATCAGGTTATCTTTTTACAGTATTGTGTTAACGAAAGTGCTTGAAAATTTCTATTATATTTATGTATCATTATTATATATTATTTCCCTTCGTAAGTAAAGTTCGTTTTTAAAAACGAATATGTATGTGCGCACATGAATGTATGTATATGATTATACCTAGTTATATAAAAATTTCCGCCTTATATAATACCGTCTTGGCCTTTCTTTGCAATTAAATTTTTCTCTTTGTCCTGTTAAATTGTTGTATACAAAGTTCAGCTTTCGTCGTATTTAAAATATTAAGCATTTTTCTTTACATATTTTTTATAACCATTTGGCAATTTTTTATATTAATATTTAGCATACTGCTATGAAATTATATATATTTATATAATACTGAATATAACATTTTTTACATTATAAACGTAAAGAATTTTTTAACATTTGAATAAATATTACAGCCTAGAAATTCGAAATGTCTAAGAATAGAAGTTATATATAAAACAAATATTATGCTTATAACAATTATTTGGAATCATTTAATGATAAGGCGGGGCTACAGTCAAATTTATTCATATTCTCGCTTAACATAATATTTAATATCTTTTTATTCAATGGGAATTATGTAATAATATTACGAACAATTTATAAAAATCATTTTACTTTAAATTGAAGTTCTAATTGTAGCGTCCTTTATTGTTAGTAATTAAAATTTTTAGTGTAGTCTGGTGTAGGACAAATAAAACAATGTTCTTTAACTTTTCACCAACGTTTCGATTTAATTTTAAAGCTTCATCAGGGATTAAGTTATTGAACAAATTTTAATTTGATTCTAACATAATTAAGTAACTCAATAACTTTAATCAATGAATTTACTAAAATTTTTAAAATCGTCACTTATCCTTTTTTAATAAATAACATATAAATAAATAAATAAAATAAATTAACACGAATTGTAAATGGGACAAAACTAGACTCTTATAAAACTTAAACTATATTATAACTTAAACTATATTTATTTTAAATTGAAAAACAAGTACAACTTGGTTGTATATATAATGTATGTTTGTATTTATGTATATACGCACACAAAGGATAATATTAAAAATGTGAACGTTTTATTATTTATTTTTTATTCTGTCCGCTTTCAGATGACTTGGTTTTCTTTTCTTACATAAAAAATATATTATTGGCTATAACGTTAAAATACAAATATCAAGTGACCATACATCCTTTAATAAAATCGAAGGCAAAAAAAATTGCCAGCAGCAACAGTATAATATAATAATATTCCCCTTTATTCAAAAAAGGATGATATTCAGGATTTATTTATCTTACTTTCATTTAATACCTTTATATCAATTGAAAATATCTTCATTTCTAATGTATACTGTATACGAGTACAACATACATATATGCATATGTATTTTTTTTAAATTTGGTTTTATTAAGACGTTTTTTCATAACTATATACATAAATATATACTTAGGAATGAAAAATATATTAAACTAATATTAAGCAATTATAAGGTACTAAGCCTAAATTAGTTAAATATAAAATGTAATACTGTTATTTGAAGACAATATCCTTGATTAAGTATCATCAAAATTACTGACTTAATTCGAAAATTTAAGGCTCAATTATGGAAGTAAATTATGTAAGTTGATTCAGAGTTGACTTGACAGAGAGAATCAGTTAAATCGATTGTTTCAAATTTTTTAAAAATTTTCATTAAACCATTGCTGTTCCCTATATTATTCGCCTAAAAATAATAAGACGAACTTGTTAAATTAAATAAAATATTATTGGTTATTTTAAAGAACATAATTATAATGCATGCTAACCATACAATATTACAAAAGTTGCCTAAAATTATATATGTACATAAATATAGAATAAAAAGTAAATTGAAATTGGCTGCAGATTATGATGTACTTAACTCGTATTAATGAAAATGTTTTTATTATTTTTAACATTAAAATGATTAATGCGAAATTTTTACACTAAATTTTTCTTTTTTTAAATTAAATTTTAGCTTTTCTATTATCTGTATTATAATAAATTCGTTATATAATCGAGTCCTTTCATGTGTTTAGAAAAGGCCAAATAAATACAAAATTAAAAAAAAACAAAAAGCACATTTTGGAAAAGGATATAAATAAAAAATTTTCTTGATAACGCGATTATATTCCAATATTCATTGTGCTGAATTTTCTATCTATTTGTTTTGTTAACAGAAACTCTTGTCTATTCGTTGCTTAAAGAATAAAAAAAATGTCTTTTTAAATTTTGTTGTATAAAAAATCATTGAAAAAGAATTTTTTCATTTATAATGTTAAAATTAATTTTTAATATAATTTTTAATGGAAATTAGAAATATTTTGATTAAAATATTCTACAGCACGTACATATTTTTGAAAAGTCCCATTTTGTAAGTTTAAAACCAGCTTTTAAATTTAAAAATTTTTTAAAATTATTGCATACTTATGAGGATGATATTTTGTTTAAAACTTAATTTACATGAGAAATTACAAATAAATAATTTACAAGTAAGAGCTGTGCCTTCATTTCTTTCAGACTCCTTCATCTATACATACATGTAAAAAAACTACATAAAATAGGAGACGAAAGAGTTTAATGGGAATTTAAAAAAATGTATGCAATATTTTTAACACATTTCAATTTAAAATTTAATTTTAAACATAGTCTGGGTTTTTTTTCCAAACTGTTGGGGAGAATTTGTATCCTATAATAATTTCCTCAAATAAAATTTATATTTTTCCATTTTTTTTTTATAAATATGTTTTCATTGTGAATGTCATTTATGGTTTAATCTTGTTACTGGGATAGTTGTTTTCACTTACCCCAAAAAACAAAAAGAAAAAACGAATGGAAACAGGAAAATATTGAAACTAATGATAAGATGAACATAAGGAAAAAAACCATATGAATAGAGAAATTCACACGAGGCTTTTTTTTTTAAATCCATTTTAAAAAAATTTATGGTTTTAGGTTTTAAGGTTATAACTTTATTAAGTAATCGACACATTTACAATATGGTTTTATTAATAAAACCTATGTATGCATTTCCATGCTAATACGTGTATGTATATAATGCTATACTACGAGTATGTTATTCATTGAATAAAATTTCTCTTAAAGTAATATTTAAGTTTGGATAACAAATGGATTAAAATTTTGGAAAATATTAAAATTATTTATAGTTACTTGATCTGCTTCCAGTAAAGCAGTAAAGCTGATTCGATACGATATCTTCTTTACTGATATTTAAAAATATACACATGTATGTATGTATGCATTTATGTGTTTGGAAAGTGAGTTACTAATCTTAAAACCTATTGATTTTTTTTTATGTCTAATGATTAATTTGATACTTAAAGGCATAGATACAAAAATTAAATGATTTTCTTCCAATTTATAAAATTATTTTTTAATTATTTG